CGCGCTGCGCCGCGCCGCAGGCGGTCAGCGCCTCCACCACCTCCGCCCCGATGGCCGTGGAAGCGGCGCCGGGGACGGCGCACGTCCCGCTGCTGCTGCCGGTGCCGCTGTCGTCATGCGCCGAGGCGCTGCCGTCGGCCAACGGGCCCATGGCCAGCAGGCGGGCGGCCAGCGCGGCGGCGGCCAGCTCCACGTGCGCCGCGGCGGCGCGCAGCGCCTCCACGCCCGAGGCGGCGGCGACGGAGGCGCGTGAAGCCTCGTGCGCCGTCCTTTGCCCCGCCAGCCAGGCGGCCAGCGCGGGGCACAAGTCGTCGTGCACCTCGGCCGCGGCCTCCAGCAGGTCGTGCTGGCGGGCCAGCAGGCGCAGCGTGGAGGCGGGGCAGGCGGGGAGCAGCGCGCCCAGCGCAAACAGCGTCGCGCGCAGGCCGCCCAGTGCGCAGGCCAGGCGGGTGCGGGAGGATGCGTCGTCCACGGCGTCGCTGAGCGCCCGGGCCGCCGCGGCCGCATCACCACGCAGCGAGCGGGCCAGGGCCCTCCCCGCGCCGGGTAGGGCATCCAGGAGCCGGGGATTGGCGGCCAGCATCGCGCCCAGCACGGCGCGGGAGCCAGGCAGGGCGCCGAGGAGGGCCGCCGCCTCCAGGACGAAACCGAGGCCGAGCAGGGGCTTCACGGCCCTGGACCTCAGGGCCGGGGAGGGGGCGTCGTTGCTGTGACGCCTTGTAGTGAATCTGTGGGGTGTAGGGTGGTGGGACGCAATCGTGCATGACCTCTGGACACACATGCATTCATCACGCCATCGCCCCCCCCCCCCCCCTCCCAAATGCAAACTTGGCAGTCCCCAGGACCAGTCAATGATAACCGCTCATCAGAACAACCAAGTGCTCACAGTGATGAAAGGACTTTTAGCGTCAGCGAGGCCAGGGTCTCGTCATACCCCGGCTCGTAGGGGCGTGGGAGGTACACCAGCAGGGACTGCAGCAGGCGAACAAGGGAGGCGTCCTCCACTGCCGTCCGCCAGACATCTGACGAGCTGGCTTGTGACAATGACTTCAAGTCAGATGCAATGTAGGACCTGGTGTCCTCATAGTCCTGATCCCCCGGCCCAGCAGCCGGGAGAAAAGGCAGGAAGGACATCGCCCCCTGTCAGACGCTGACTTGCGTCACCTCATGCTTGTGGGTGGATGCATTACACAATGCGAGGTATCAAGGGTGCAAGGGGATCCCATGGAACCAGCCTTTGCCCACCATGTGGCTTCCTGGTCGGTGCATTGCCTTCGCATGTGCTTGACACTACCCCGCCCAGACTCGGATGGAAAGAGTGGCTGCGCTTCAAAATCAGGCCCTCCTTCACCTCCTGCCACTGCAAGCTGCCACTCGCTGCAAGGCACTCACGCCAGTCCAGACCCATCCCATTGCTATGTGCTGCTAGATAGAGATCGGCATGGAGGGCTCGGCTGGGGCGAGGCAGGGCACAATAGCTGCCCTCTGGACTCGACCGCCTTCGAAACGGGCATCGTCACCTTCTACTGACCAGAAGGTGGCAAAGCCGACCGGTGATACCTCACTTGACGCCATTAGGATTGTCGATCTATCGGAAGAGGCATGCCGGGAGCCACCCGTTGACGACGAGACTGGCTCCCGTGCTCCAGATGCTGCCATATGCGTGGGACCCGACATCACCCCAGTGGCGGAGCGAGGGGTGAGTAAGGGGGTCGATAATCAGCTGGCATCTGCGTGACCTGAAGTCTCTCTGGATGCAGTCTCATGTGGCAGAGAGGTCGAAGGGGAGACCTGCAGTCCTGCAGGCCCAGCTGTCATTCTCAAGCCCCTTCTCCCCTTACCTCAGGACCCAACCTCCAGCAAACGACGGAGTGTCGGCCCGTCGGACTCCACCCCGCTCAACAAGCGTGCACGTGTGACCACCAAAGGCGAGCATGCAGCCTTGGATTTGCAGCAGACCACCACAGAGGCCTCCGCGAGCGCCCCGGCGCCAGTTGACACCGATGCCAAAGTCCAGGAAGACCCTGCAGACCTTGGGCAGGCCATGTCTCAATTAGGAAAGGAGGGACTGCTGGAGCACCTGAGCAATCGCAGGGCAGGCCTCATGGGCACAGGGATGCCTGCTCCCCTGCAGACTTTGCCTGAGGAAGGCAGTGCGAGCACCACCCGCATCCCGTACTCGGATGCCCAGGTGAGCAGGGGACTTGAGGGATGGCAGATTGAACAGCATGAGGCATCGATTCCCCAATCTCCTCGCTCAGCAAACGCCCCACCTTCCACATCCTTTGCCCGCAGCTGGCGTCCCGCATTGCATGGCAGCCCCTCCCCCTTGCCCGCCTGGTGGAGGCCCTGCTGCCCCTCTTCAGCGCCCCAGGGTCAAACGGCGCTCGCATGGGACATGACGTGCTGATGAGTCGGATCTGCCTCCTGGCCGCCAGGAAGAGCTTTGCTTCCAAGAAGAGTGAGCCTGCCGGATTGCTGGGGGGTTGATTGGAGACAGAGTATGGGACGTGCATGCCAGTCCAGGGCTGCACGCCTCACGGAGAAGGGAGTTACAGCATGATGGACGTGGTAGCTGCCATCTCCCCAAGTTGACACATCTCACAGTCATGTCAGACTTCTCAACCTGCTACCACACTGCCAGGCTTGGACCCTCTGCTGAATGCCTTGGAGGACACCAGCTCCGATTGCCTGTGGCGGTGGGACCTCCGAGAATCGCGCTTGCTGCCGCATGGCCTCAGGGCACGAGGGGCGGCTGCCAAGAAGGAGGCAAAGCTGGTGAGAGGGGACGGGGGGTAGGCACATGCATTGCTTTCTGCACTGGGGGTGTCGAGGCACAGCTGGTTGGGGTGACATTGAGTTTGATGTTTCATGTGTTTGGCCCATTTTTTGGTGACAACAGCTCCTGATGCATGATAGCATGGTCCCCTTCCTCTCCGATAACATCAACGACAGGTCCAGGACAGTCTGACAGCACTCGATGCACTTACCGAGGTGCTGAAGACTCAGGCCGAGGGCGACCCACCAACCGCCAAGCTGCACAAAGTCTGGGATGCCTGGAGGAAGGTGGGGAGCTGCGGGCGGCCGCTTTCCTATGATTCGAGGCGGATGGTGGAATCTGCCGCCACTTCTGTACTGCGAGTGGTCGAACTCCTCACCCTCAGTCTTACTGCTCCCTGTGCAGACTCAGGTCCACACGCCAACGTCACAGGCGGCTGCTGTAGCCGCATCGCCGGCACCTGCAGAGAAGCTTTCCGCACCCAGCGTTGCTGCGGCCGCTGCCGCCCTTGCTCCCCCCGTCGAGGACAAGGCTCGACTGCAGGCAGAGAAAGACGCTGTGCGTGCAGCGGAGAAGAAGGCTCGGGAGGATGCCAAGGCCGCTGCCCTGCAAGCCAAGGTGGACCTGAAGGCTGCCAGGGAGGCAGAACGAGCCACGGCCGCCGCCGCGGCAGCGGAGGCCCGGACCCAGGCGCGCGCCGAGCGCGAGGCTGAGCGCGAGAGGCAGCGAGCGGAGCAAGAAGCGGAGAAGGAGCGGCAGCGTGCCGAGCGCGAAGCCGAGCGGGAGCGCCAGAGGGAGGAGCAGGAGGTGAGGGCGAGGTGGGATTGGGAAGTGGGGACGTCTGGTGTTCAGATTGGTCTGGATGATCAAGCTGCCAGGGCCCTACCCTCCTACAAATCCCTGCATCCCCTTGTTCTTAATTTCTTCCTGGATGCATGGTCCCCTTGCGCTTGAGTGCCAGGGCTCAGGCCTGTGCCTCCCCTTGCCCACTTCTTGCAGTTGGCCAAGCTGTCCCGCAAGACCGGCTTCAAGGACGGCCAGGAGCTAGGGAAGGCCCGCGACATGTTCAAGGTGCTTGTCGGACAAAGGCCGCTGAAAGTGGGGGAGTTTGGATGCCATCACCCTCACAGCCACGACGCCCTGGGACCAGTGTGGCATCTGGGACCAAGTCACCCCGACCCCAACCCCGTGCAGAGCTTCTTTGGGGGAAAGAGCCCCGGCCCCGCCAGCACCCCTCCCAGCAGCGGCAGGGGCGCCACGGTGGACCTGACGACCCCCGCAGCCGCCGGCTCCACCCCCGCCCACGCCAGGGCGACCCTGGTGGGCCGGCGCCTGAGCATGGCTGGCACCCCCGGCGCTGCCGGCCCTCGAGGGCTCACCCCCAATACTGGCGGCCAGCCGGCCGCCAGGGAGAGGGGGTACGCGGAGCTGTTCCTGAAGCCGGAGGGCGAGCCTGGGGCTGTTCCGCCACCGGCGCGGGGCGACAGCATGGACGCCGAGCTGGCGAGGGGCCTGGGCGAGGCCGAGTCGGAGCGAGCCTTTGGCGAGTGGCTGGTGCGGGCGCGCGCCCAGCGCCGGGCGGCAACCTTGGAGCCCCGCCTGGGCCTGCCGCCCTCCTGGGCGAGGCGGCGCGGCGCGGCGGAGGCCGCGCGCGAGCGGTACCACCGCCTGCGGGACGACGGCGTTGACCCGGCGCAGGTCCGCACCTGGCGCCGCAAGCTGCTCTGGTTCCCCGCCGACTCGGCGAGGCCCGCCTTCCACGGCTCCTGCTCCGGCGCGCCGAGGGGCGGCGTGGGGCCCCGCAGGCCCTGGGCCCGTGACCCTGTCTTGGACTACGAGGTCATGTCCGACCTGGACTGGGAGGAGGAGCCGGAGGGTGAGTGAGAACATGGGGGGGCAGGGGTGGAGGGGGGTGGGTGATTGCCACTTTTGAACCACGGGGCACTTTGTTTGGGGGGGGTCATGGGTTCAGCGGCGCAGCGTACGTTCGAAATGCACTGCCGTGCGCGCGAATGGCATGCACCTCCCAGACCTGCCGAGTTCGAGCATGGACGCTGCGTTCCGACCTCTGGAAACCCTAAACACACTCAGGCACCTCCCTGTCTGGAGACGACGAGTCCGACACCGGAGGGTGCGGGGAGGAAAGCGACGCGGAGGGCGGCTCCTTCATGGTGGCAGATGGGTACCTGTCGGAGGACGAGGGCATCCAGTGGGGCGACGAGTTCGGGGTCGAGGACGCGGCGCAGGAGGTCGCCTCGTCAGGTGCACGGGAGGGAGCTCGGCCAGGCCTCAGCGATGCAGGTGAGAGGAGTGGCGGAGTCCTCACGGTGTTACATCAGGAGGCCTCATGCCGGTGCGGCAGGCTGCACCAGGAGGAGGTGTGCCGCACAGGCGTTCCAGGCCTGGACGGAGGTGCTCGAGGGCGCGCCAACCGGTCACCCAGCCCCCTCCCCGACCCTCCCACACGCCCAGACATGGCACGGCTGCGCAAGGCGTTGCAGCTGGGTGCCCTGCTGGAGAGAGCCAAGCGGGCGGGGCAGCCCCTGATCATCAGCAGGCTGCCACGCTGCGAGCAGCTCGACCAGGCGGGTGCCGCGGAGTCTGCGGCCGAGACCGCCGCGACCAGCGGCGGCCACCTGAGCGCCGACGTGTCGCTGCTGGACGCCTTTGCCTTTGTGCACGGCCCCTGTGCTGCGGGGGTCAGGGTGAGGGCGCCAGAGACCGGAGTGGGTGCCGGCGGGGCCGGCCCGACCTGGGAGGCCGCGGACCCTAACCAGGGGGCCAGCGGGGCCGGCAGCTCAGGCCCCGCCGACGCAGATGCGGGCGCTGGCCGGATTGCAGAGCCCGCGGCCAAGGGCTCAAAGCCGCGGTCGGGGGCAAAGCAGTGGGACAGGCCTGAGGAGCTCATGCCAGAGCTACTTCGTCTGGTCCTGCTTCAGCCGGGCCAGACCAAGAAGGAGGTGCGGCGCTGTGTGGACAATCAAGGATGTGGGGGTCCAAGGGAGGGTGTCCTCTTGGATTTTTAGAGGTGCTGTGTGGACGCGGCGGGATCTTTCACGGTAAGAGCGGTCGTCGATGCAGTTGGAAAACAGTTTCCCCTCCCTGCACTCCCCATCACAGTACGTGGACGCCTTCATTGCGGCCCACCCCGACCTCCACATCTCCCGCGCCTGGGTGCTGGGCAGGCTCGGCGCCCTGGTGGAGTTCAAGGGCCGCACCGCAACCCTGACGCCCCTGGCCCTGGACCCTGTGAACCATTTACTCGCTGAGTTCAACATCGACAGGGGCACCGGCTCCGTGACTGGGCCTTCATGCGCCCAAACGATCACCAGCAGCACCCCCGCCCCGGAGCCCAAGCCGGCGAGGCAGCAGCGCACCCTGCCTGCAGTGCTGCGGCAGCGTGCGGAGGCGGCGGCGGCGACGCGGCCCCCCGTGCGCGACTGGGCGCAGGCACTCACGCTCGTGGAGTCTGGGACCGGGCCCGCACTGGCGGCCCTGCCCACGCAGCTGGCCGCCCTGCTCAGTCCCCGTGAGGATGATGCGGAGGAGCGGGGGCCTGGCGCTCCTGGTCCCATTCCCGCCTTCCTCTCTGCGGCCGTGGTCGAGCGCCTGGCGGCCGACGGCCCTGCCCGCGAGCCAGAGACTGTGGAGCCCCTCGCCGCAACGCTGCACCTCCTCCTGGGCCGCATCGCGGAGGGAGCCGGCGCCTGCACTCACGAGGATGCCAGCGCCTCGCAGATGGCGTGGGCCGCGCCGCGAGCCGGTCCCCTGGCCGCCACCCTGGAGACCGTCGCCTGCGAGGCCCGCCTGGCGCCGGCACTGCGAGCCGCGCTGCGGGCAGGCGGCGCCGCGGCGGCCAGCGCTGAGGGGTGCCTGGGCCTGCTCAGGCGGCATCGGGGGATCATGGAGCGGGCGCTGCAGGGGGCCGAAGGCTTGAACCCGCTCCTGCGGCTTCTGGAGGGGGACTCTCCTCCCTGAGGCTGGCCGCAGGCGTGCCGCAGATCGGCCAAAGCCGTGTGCACGCCCCTGCGCGGTTGGTTCAGACACCTCCTCCTGAGAGTTGCCGGGACTGAAGGGGAGGCCGTGTACCCCAGGACTCAACGACATGTACCCGGTTGACAGCGTCTGCTGCCTGCACCGAAACGCAGCATTCCAAACCTGATGCCAGGGTTTACACAAAGAATGAGAGGGAGTGGAAAATGTGTGGAAGGCAAGCGCAAGCTTGCGGATGCCAGTGCCCTCTGCGCGATGCCGGCCCAAAAGGCGGCAAAACTCCATCCTCGCAAATCCCCTACGCCGCGAGCCGAACTCGCTTGCCCTCCAGGACGAACTGGCGGCTGCCCTGCAGCTTCCGGAGCAGCACCGCCGCGATTTCTTCCTCGCCGGGCATGGCATCGTGCGCGTGTCCCTTGGCCTGCAAGCGCACGGCCACGTGGGAGACCACGTGGCGCCCGACTCTCTTCAGCGAGGCGCCGCTGGGTTTGGCACCGCGCAGGAACTCCTGCGTCACCGCCTTCCACCTCACCAGCGCCTCCCAGGGCCTCGCCTCCGTGCTTGGACCCGCCGCCTGTGTTTGACACGCCGCATCCGCGTGACACCCAGCCCCGCTGTTCTGGGCGCCATCCTCGCCCGCCTCGTCAAACTGGACCTTGGTCCCGGTCCATGCCACACCGCCGACCTTGACGGCCCGCTGGGCCTGGCCCAGACCCACGCGGCCCTGGGTCTTGCTGGCGTGCGCTGCCATGTAGACGCCCTCCTGTGCTTGGGGGCGGGGGGGGGCCGGTCGTGAGGAGCTGGCGCCAGGGGGTCAGGACTCAGGCCAAGCCATCGGCACACCTGAGAGGGGCGCACGTCAGAGGCCGGCCCGCGCCGCACGCTGCCGCTGGCATGAAAGAGGGAATGGTGTACAGAGCAGGCAGGTGTGCCAGCCCATACCCCGAAAAGGCCCCCCCTCCACCTGGTCGTCCTCGGTGAAGCCGCGCTTGGCGTCCTCCTGCGCTTTCCTCATCCCCTCCAGCACGCCCGCTGGGGAGAACATGCCCCGACCCCACCAGCCCTCCAACTCCGTGGGCCTCCAGAGCGCTGCGGCAGCCGCCGCCGCAGCGCTGGCCTCGGCCGAATGCACCTCCACGACAATGCGAGGCGCGGCAGGTTCCTGCGATGCCGGCCTGGCATCCGCATCGCTCCGTGCTTTCTTGCTCTTGGAGGTCCTGCCATCTGGCACGGCGGTGCCGAGGGCTGCCGCCGCCGCCGCCGCCTCTCGCGCCTCCTGCGCTCTGATCCTCGACATCTTGCCCTCCCTGCCGCCAAAGCGGCCGGCGGCCAGCCGGGAACCACCCTGGGTCAGTGCATCCAGCAGCGCCAGTTCGTGAGCGGACGCCGAGCTGGCAGTCCCATCGCGATTGCGGCGAGACACGCAAGTGGTGGCGTCATCCTCGCTTTCGCTGCTGCTGCTGCTGCTGCTGCTGTCTTCATCCTTCTTCTGCGAGGCAGGGGCATGGTTAAGGAACTCACAAGCAGGCATGGTAGCAATGCGATATCCTTCCGGCAGGAGCTGGGTATATATTTTGAAGAATACTCTCACAAGACGTTGTACAACTTTCCCACCAGAGCCACATGCCCTGCTCACAAACCTGCAACCCTCACCACGGCATCAATGGCGGCAGAGGACTCGCTGTACGCCCTCTCCCACCAGTTGTCGTCCCACTTCCAGCTGGCTCGGCCGCCCACCTGGAAGAAACAGGGACACAGGGTCAGTCAGTATTATCGCTACACACCTGCCCAAATTGAGGCACGGCAGCTCCCATGCCCAGCTCCCATGCCCAGCATCTCCAACCCCCCTTCTTCACTCACTCCCACGCTGTCCTCCTTCTTTTTCACTTGGATGGCCTCCTTGATGCCCTCCCCTGTGCGTCCCAAGCCCTGGCCTTTGTCCCAGCCCATGGTCTTCAGCATGCGTTCGCCATACCCTCCGTAGCCAGTGGGTTTGACCACGCCCACTCCGGCTACATGGCCGGGGGGCAGCTTCATCCTTGCGTCTACACAGTAGTGTCAGAGAGTAGGAAGCGTACTGACTCCAAGAGGGAGGCACGGCCTTGCGGTACGCCGTCGGGGCGCGAGGTTCGAAGTTCGAAGTCGATGTCCCACGTACAGATTAAGAGTCTCACATAACAACCATAATGCAATACTGAAGCCTAAACGTCTTGGTAGAGTTCGAGGGTTGTCACATTTCGTTCCAACCTGCATGTCTAGGGCGCGACAAGCGGTCGCGCGCCACAGGTTGAAGGCGGTCTCTCGTCCAGGTATTACAAGGGCGAGGACCGTCTCATGGTTGTCGACTGCAATACAGGCTTCAGTCCAATAGAAAACGCATTCTGTATTTATCCTAAAATTCGGGACTTGCTTCGATTACTCCTGAACCTCAGGGAGGCTCTTGAGGCCGCCCGCTGAGGTCGTCCCCCGGGCGCAATGCTTCGCCAGATCGGGCGATGTGGAGGGAAGGGCGTTGCAGCGGCTGATTTGGCCGTAAACCAGTTTGCTGCATGTGCAGGGGTGCAGACCTGCAGGGTGTTCTGCGCCCAAACCTCCACAGTGAGTCATGGGACTGGATGCTTGTGGTTGCAGCCGCGCCTGGGTCACCCTGTGCGCAGCAGCCACCTAGATCCAGTGACTCATCATGTCAACAAATCCCATGTCATGTAGGAGCTCCTTTACCAGACGCCTGTGGACTCTCTCCAATTTCAGAGGCAGGCCCTGCTGGACCCACTGGTGACATCCTCCCCACTGCGGCGCGCCGCGCTGCGGCTCTTCGGCTACTACAGCCGCGAAAGCCGCCACATGCGCGCCGGCCAGGCTCTCCTGGAGGCGATACAGGAGCAGGCGGACGCGCCAAGCTTCTCACGGGCCTTGCAGGTGCCAGGCAGCTTCCAGCACCAACACGCAGTCTTAGTCTTGCATGTCTGGCTGGTGCTGCAGCGGCTGCGGTCAGAAGGAAAGGACGGCAAGCACCTGGGGCAGGCCATGTACGACGGCTTTCAGGATGACGTGGAGAAGAGAGCGAGGGCCACCGGGGCCAAGGTGTGTTTCTGATCGAGGAATCGGTGGAGAATTGTGGCCCGGCCCCTGAAGGAGTTTTCATTACCATGCGGTGTTTCTGAGTCTATTCAGACAACTTGAAGACTTTCTGGGCCTCAAGGTTCTTCCCCCTTTACCATTTGAATTCAGGTGCGCTTTAGTAAGTTTCTGAAGGAGTATGAGGAGCAGTTTTACGGATCAAGCCGATCCTATGACCGTGCAATGGAGGGACAGACCGACCTCGCAGCCGCCTTGGCGAGGAACGTGTACATGATGGACCCAGAGAAGCAGGAGGCTGCCAATCTGATGGCAAGATACGTTCGACGGTACGTGCAAGTCCAAACGAGGATGGAAAGGGCTTGTATGTTTTGGAACACCAACTCGCCTTGACCAGACAGGACTTCGTTTGTTGGAAGCTCCACATCATCCCATGTCCCCCCTTCGTGCAGAGAGATTGCATGCCTGGCTCTTACCCCCACCGAGGCCGTGATGGAGGGGAACATCAAGTTCTCCACGGGTTTCTATTCGCACATGCCTGCTGAGGCAGCTTCAAGGAGGACAGAAGATCTTGCAACAGCAACAACAGCAGGAGCAGCAGCAGCAGCCTTGTAAAACCACTTGGATGAATCCAGTCTAGTGTGCTTGTGTGCTCGGTCCCTGTATAAACAGGATAGATACAATAGCAACCATCAGTTCAGCATTGAGGATTTGGGTTTGGTAAAGGAGGTGCCTGGATAACAAGGCAACCCCCTCACCCCACGTGCCTCGACTCGAAATTCATCGCGCCTGCAGAATATTTTGTGTCCATGCCAGGCATGCACCTCGCACATGCAGCCCTCGGAGGCTTCAGATTAATCTTTCAACTGGCATGACAGACGGAGCGTTCCTGCTGGAATGAGCACGAGCGTGTCGAAACGGTGGGAAAGAGAGCTCCCACGGTGGGGTTGCCAGCTCACATGCTCTCGCCATGCTCGCGACTCACGCCGTCTCGCCATGCTGCAGGTCCAAGGGCAAGCAAACCAGTGATAATCGGATAGCCATCCTCTTGGGAGCCGTAGCCGTCGCTCTGGGGGCATGGGCGTGGCGGAGCTACAGGACCAGGGATGGCCCTGGTGATGACAAGGCACCTGGTGCCAGTCCCTTCAAGTTCCCCAAGTCCGCCAAGGTGACGCACATCAGGTGCTTGAGAAACTAGAATCCTGCCTACATTATGCCCTCACATCAAGCAACCCTTCTTTCACAGGCAAGTGCCCAGAGCAGCGGCAACAACAAGAAGAACAAGGCCAGGAAGAGGGAGGAGCGGGAGCGCAGGGCAGAGAAGCGGGAACAGAGGTGGGGCGGGGGTGCAAGATAGGGTGCAAGGGGATTGGGTGGTTCCCTGAGTCGCTAGCTTAGAGATTTCCTTGCCCAACACCTCTGACTACACCCACCCCTGGCAGGCCGGCCGCCGCGGCGACAGCCAAGGGCCCGGACGGCAGCGCCCAGCCTGCCGGTGCCCCAGGATCAGGCACCTCCGTCATGAACTACACCTACTTTGACAGCGCGCGGAGGGACACGGTGCTTAGCGCGGCGCCGCGCAGGGCGGCGCTCACCGCCGCCGACGTGGCTGCCCTGGACGAGAAGCGGGGAGAAGCCGGTTCCAAGCCCCGATGATGGGTTTCTTGCTTGCGGGCATGCTTGGCATGCTGTAGGCTCCTATCAACTACTGAGCGGCCTGGAGGGACAGAACACAGGACTGTCGGGAGATTTCCTAGACACAGAAGTGATCGAGGCTACAGCTCTTTAAGACGGTCTAGCCGGATCTCACGGCACGTCGGCAGACACACCACTATGCCCACATCAGCGCGCCGCCTCCTCGGCTCGCAGCGCGGCCCTTATCCTCTCAGCCTCCTCCGCCGTCAGGTCTCCCTGTGCGTCCAGGATCCTGGCACTGGCTGCCTCCTCCTGCGTGCGGGCAGCGGGAAGGAGGGAGGGGGGTGAGCTCGCTGCTGTCCTGTATGGATTCGATACATGATCCTCCCACATGGTCCAAACCGGCAGGTCGGGGGGGTCTTCATGTTCCCCCATGCCGCCCCACCTTCCCCCTCCCCCTAAAGCGCACCAAGATACGCAAAAGCCTACCTCCGGCGTGGCCTCCCAGCCCTCGATGTGCAGGACGTTGTTGGTGCTGGCGCCGTCGAGCATCGTGGGGTGGGCGGGCGACAGCGTCCACCGCCCCTCCACGACGAACTTGTAGGGGTAGGCACCCGGGGGCAGCTCGCGCCGCAGCTCCCAGCCCCGCCCCCGCCGAGTCAGCCCCACGCGGTTGCCCCAGCCCACGTCCAGCCCCGCGGCCTGCACACGGCGGCAAGTGGCGGGGGCGGCCAGGCACAGGACCGTGCGCCGCGCCTTCCTGCCCTGTAGCACGTCCAGCGCGGCCGCTCGCACGGCGCCCAGCTTGGGGCTGCAGGGGCGCAGGGCTGTGAGGTGTGCGTGTGCATGGGGGAGTGTCACTCCGCACACCCACCACATGTAAGCCAGGGCCACCGCGGGAGCACGGCCCAGGCCTGGACTGAGGAATTGGGGGGAGGGCGGTTGGTTTGCCTGAGAAAGTCCAGGGAGATCTGCTCCGAGCGCCTGGCAGCCTAGGTCATGCGCCATGCGGGGGCGGGGCAGCAGTGGGTCCACGCACAGCTTGCCACCCTAGGGCAGACCTGGGGGCCGACTGGGCCTCGCTCCCCGATCCCCACAACCTGACAAGCGGACCCCCCTCCCCCAAGATGTGCCCACACATCATCGCGCCTGCCGTGCAGTGGATGTAGGCGGTGCCACCCTGGCGCTGCATGGACCCCTGCAGCGCGGCCACCGCGGCCGGCAGGCCCATGCGCAGGCTGTGTGCGTCAAAGTCGCGCAGCGGGCGACGCACGTGGTCGATCCGGCCGGAGCATGCGGCCAGGATGGGCGCCAGGTCCAACCCGAAGTAGGCCATGTCCGAGTCCTCCTGCAGGGACAGGATGGTGCCCACCTCCTCCTGCGACACCAGTCTGCGATTGAGGAGGGGAGTTGGGGGGGGTCATGATGGAATCCATGGACTGAGGTTCATGATGGTCCGAGCAAAGGATATGGGGAGAGGGCTAACATCGATGCGGGCCCCAATATGAAATGCAGTGCCTGGAGCGTCAGGCTTCTCTTCATATACTGGCCCAAGGCAGCGCCGTCTGATTTCAAACTCGATTGAAACCAGCCCCTGTCGCCCCCTCGCGGCAGCCCACCTCTCGATGTCCTCGGCTGTCTGCGGGCAGGATCCCACGATCAGGTTGTCGAGGATGCGGGTGTAGTTCATGCCATCCTCGTGGCAATACACAAGAGAGGCGCTGCCCATGCGGGCCTGCATGGTCTCGGTGTACTCCTCCGACAAGGCCCCACTGGCACTGGCAGCCGTGCTGGCCTGGCTTGAGTTCTGATTGGGTGGGCTTGGCACGGCCCCTTCTTGTGCAGATCGAGTAGATTCTGCAAGCGAGGGAAGCGATGAAGAGGGTTGCTGAGGCAAGCCCTGAAGTGCAGTGTGAACGGAAGGTACAAGGCCTACCCTTGCCGACCAATAATGCAGTGCAGGGGCCCTTCTGTGCATCCCAAACATCCTTTTCTCTCCCTGGAGGGAGCGGTGCACCTGGTTGGGCTCTGCACATGACGCAAGGGGCGACTGGCGATCGACTGCGATGCAAACATGCCCCTCCATCAGCTGCTCTTGGTCCCCTGGATGGTTTCCAGCGGCTAGGGGTGCAGGGTGCGGCGGGGTTGCTCATGGTCATGCCTCGCATAGCGCCTCGCACCCACGGCGTGTGACCAAGGAGTCCTATGCCAGACAGAGAACTGAAAGTACAAAGGTCTGCAGGGGAACAAATAATATATCGGACTTATCACACGGTTTGCCTGTGCATCGCTAAGATTCAGTGCAAACAATCCGTGTCGGGATCCACGACGATGATATGGCCCCGCTAGGGTTTGCCAAAACTGGAGGGCCCCTGGATTCCAAACATTTTGAGTGCCACATTCTCAAATGATACTCAGGGACATCAATGCATTAGTCCTGAATGTTCATTCTCATGTATCTCCAGGCAGTCCAGTTACAGTGTGAACAGCGGCCAATGGATGCATATGAGCAGGAAACCTCAAGCAAAACCACAAACACGGACAAGTTCACTTTCGGACCCTCTTCCATGCGGTGCACAGAAGAGGAGCTGATGGTCGATTTAGGAGCTTCAGCTGAGTCACTACCCAGCTGGCAGGCTCGAGCTCTGAAAGGCAAGAAATGATGGCATCAGTCTCCTCCACACCCCCTGGGTGACCTGTGTAGCACATGACCGCCAGCAAGCCTCCCGGCTGCAGGATGTCAAAGGCGTGGCTGAGAGCCGCCAGGCTACTGCCAGCTCGTGTTGCCTCTGTCTTATCACTGCCCGGTAGATAGCTGTGTGGTGAAGGAGACAAGGAGGCAAGTGTGTGTGAGAGAACAGCCCTCATGCAGCAAAAGCGTGAAGGTTCCTGAACACGGGCGTCTGTTCTCAATCAGGACGGCAGAAATCGTGCCTTTATAGAGCGTTACACACCACATGGACAACATGTCAACATGCCTGATGCTGGTCAGGACTCATGCTCAGAGAGCGTACCCCATGTCCAACATTGAATCTTGCCTTCGTTCACCCGGCTGCTCCCCTTCGTCCTGCATGTCCCCAACGCCCCCATGACAGCTTACCCCAGATTGAAGCAGATCAGCTTTGCAGAGTCGTGTCCCAGGTGCTCGGGCATGGTCTCATGCCCTGCGTGGACGAGCTTCAATTCCGGCATTGCCTCCGGTGCCAGCTCCTCCTCCAGCCGCCGCCGGGTGGCCTGTAGCGCGGCTGCCGAGATGTCAAAGCCCACTACCCGCCCCCCGCCTCCCACACACCGTGACAGGGTGAGGGTGTCATGGCCGTTGCCGCATGTGGCGTCAATTGCCGTGTCGCCTGGCTGCAGGATGGAGGGGCCCAGCATGCCCAGCACATCTGTCAGCCGAGCATTCTCCAGCCATCGAGCTGCATGGGAGGCCTGGGTCCGCACGGCCATGGAGCGGGACGCATGGTTGCAGAGAATCATGTGATTGAAGATTGTCGACCGGTGAGTGCCAGCCACGCCCAGGCGAGTCATCATGACGCCCGCACTTGCTATGGCGACCGTGCTTCACGACTGCGCATGGCGTTGTAACCGGCAGGTAGGCAGTCGGCCTCGACCACCGTCCTCTATAGTAAATAAGTAAGGGAAGAGATGATCAAAGATGGATGTGCGGTGGGTTAGGTGCGCCACTCTTTCGCCTGGGCCGATGTGATCGTTGAGTTATAGGGTAACCTCTGTGCTGACCTCACCCTGGGATTTTCCTCAGTGGTCTTGCACAGAAGCCTGATCTCTGCTGTGTCTCTTATGGACTCTAACTGGCCTAAGCTGAGATTAAATCTTCATATCATCATCATGGTACATGAGGAGGAGCGTCTTGAGGGTGGGAACGGGAAAGGAAAATCCAGAGACTGTCATATCATGTGCGTGCACAAAGGTGTGACAAGGGGCCTGAGGTGCAGCTGTATCAGAGGCCAGGGTCAAGGTCTGGCTACTTTTGGGGTATATTAGTGCGGTAAAGCTATATGTAGGCTTGTAAGGTTGGGCATGCTCGGGGCCAAGGGCACACTGCCCTTGCCCTGATGTGATTTTCTCAGGTCGGCAGGAATGTTGCCGGAATCAACAAAAATTCAAGGGTAAGCTGCCACACTGGCTAGCTTTGGGTGAAATGGTCAAGCTTGCTGCGATCGATCAGTCGAGCGTGGCCGACTTCCGCCCACAGAGGAGCGTGCGCCAGCTGCTGCGCTTGGGCCGCCCGCCATCCTTGCGATCGGCTGGGGTGTCTTGGGGGCAGTCGGCCTTGTCAAAGGCAAAAGCCTGCACAGGGGATGTGGTGGTGCCATTGTCAGGTGGCTCAGGGGCATGCCAACAGGGCATGCACGTCGTTGCCTGCAACAGCGCTTCAGGGGTCCCCGATGCAGCGAAACCCCAATCCATAAACCCTCCCAGCAAACACCCGCTGCTCACCTTGATGGCAATACTGGCCGTCCTCTTGGCCGAGATCAGGAAAGGGGACTGGATGCGATCCTCAAACTCCCTCCTCGCAGCGGCTGCCTCCGCCTTGCTGGCCTCCGCCGCCTCCCTCGCCTTGTCGGCCTCGGACCTGGCCCTGCATGCGTCCACCCTGTCCTTGTCTGCCTGGACCCTGGCCTCGGCAGCTTTTGCCCTCTCCGTGTCGGCCTCCGCAAACGCCTTGACGGCCTCCGCTGTCGCTCGGGCTACCGCCACGCTAGCCTCCTCGGCAGCCTCCCTCGCCTTGTCGGCCTCGGACCTGGCCCAGCATGCGTCCACCCTGTCCTTGTCTGCCTGGACCCTGGCCCTGGCAGCCTCCTCCCGCTCCCTGTTGGCCTCCGTGATGGCCTTGCCGGCCTCCGCAGTCGCACAGGCCACGACCACGGCTGCCGCCTCCCGCGCCACGGCCGCCTCAGCTCGCGCCTCACCGGCCTCGCTCGCGGCCGCCGTGGCCGCCGTCTCCGCCCAGGCCAGGGCCGCGCGCGCCTCATCGGCCGCCGCCTGCGCCTCGCCGGCCTCGGCGCGGGCCTGGCGGCGCTCAGCTGCACGGGAGCCCGCCACCTCGCGCATGCGCGCGGCCAGCGCGATCGCCGCGTCGCGCTCCTTCTGCGCCTCCTCCAGCCCTGCTAGGGCCGCGTTGCGGCCCGCCTGCACAGCATCTCGCTCCGCCTCGAGGCGGTCAGCCTTGGCCACGGTCAGGCGCAGCACAGACTCTGCACGTTCGCGGCGCTCGTCCGCTGCCGAGCGCTGGGAGTCCACCGCCTCCGTCTTCACCCTCTGCACGCCCAGGCGGTGCTTGGCGGCAGACAGCTCCATGGTCAGCCGGGCCACGTTCTTGGCGGCGGCGCACGACCTGACATTCACGGCCTGCAGCTGAGCCTGCAGCGAGTCTGTCTGCGCACCCGCGGCTGCCTGCGCGTCCGCGGCGAGGGCCTTCTGCAGGGCGCAGGACGCCATGCTGCGAGCCAGGAGGCGGCCCAAGGCGTCGGCCTCGGCGACAGCCTGGTCCAGCAGCTTCTCTTCGGCTTCCTATGTTGGTCGAGAGGGACGGGACGGCAGGGGCCGGGTGGATGGATTGTTACACGTCGTTGGGGGTGCGAGTCATGCGATGCATAGGTAATTGTAGTTGGTGAGCGGTCACTTCAGCCCAGGAGGCTGTTTGAATTCACAGCTGTCAACCCCCACCCCCCGCATCCTGCAGGGCAGGCACCCGCTCACCACCTCCTTGCGCTCGTGCGATGAGCGCAGCTTCAACAAGAGCTGGGTTATCGGGAGGAGATCCTTGACATCTTCCGTGTCGTGGCTGTCGCCGGGGCGTGCGCGATCAGCAACGTCGCCCTGCTCGGGAGGAGGGGCGGGGGAGGGTGGTGTCTTGGTCGGCCAACGGACAAGCATTTCGAAAATCCACCAACGCATGCGGAAACAGATTGATGGCAAGAGTGGTCGTCTCAGTAGCTTACCGAATGATTGACGATGTCGGCGCAGCAGGGAGTGCCGGGGGAGTCGCGCCTGACAGGGCTCAGGTCATGGAGCCCGGTCCGCTCTGCCTGAGGACCCTTGGTTGCCGAGTGGACGCTGGGCCGCCCAATGGCAGCCTCTGTGGTCTGTGGTACGTCCATGGTGCAATTCATGTGGGGTGGCATGCCTCTGGAGCTCGGGATCTGGCGAAGGAGGGCGGGCAAGAATGGGCTGGGGAATGGCCGAGCACTGGGACCGGGGGTGCTGGAGGAGTACCGAGTACTTCCAGTAGCTGCTGCTGGAGTGCTTGTCAATCAGAATGGGGTGTGATTTACCTAGGAAGAAGATGGATTTCAGTTGTTTAGGGTGCGTTTCCGTTGGCGACTTTTCAAATCTCCTGTAGACCCAGGATGGCCGTGGCACATCCACAGGCCGTGCCCCTCCAGCGACGGCTGACTCGCGCCGCAATTTTCCTGAAACGAGCGGATGCTCACGCCGATGTGTTACAGATCGAGAGAGACCACGCGGTTGCTTGAAAATCATCGAGGTTTCCATATCCCTTCTCTTCAGCCCTCCGGAGTGTCTCCGTGACCATAGAGCCAAGAATGAACCTTTGAGTTTTTGATTGGCTTCTAGCACACCATTGTCAAAACTGCAACGGATGTCGAGAAGAAATCCAGCCTTATAGAAGTCAGCTAGGGCGCACGAGCACTATGTGCATTGCACACATGATTCGTGCGTCCTCGCAATTTGTCGAAGCAGTGCAATTTGTCGGCCGCCCTCCTCGAGAGCCGCCGCACCATGGCTGTATGAATTTGAAATGGAGAGAAGGGTTTGCTCAGGTAGTCTTCAGCGGAGTGATACCCTGCACAGTTTGTCCGGTGTCTCTGCACTTAATTGCTGGCTGAGGAGCTTGCTTGTGACAGCCAGGATGCCAACACAAGAAGAGATCGTGATTCAAAAAATGGAATGGTGAGCCAAAACCATTGATAAAGAATTCGTGGAAAGCAACCAGGGCGACTGACTCTCACAGCAAACATGCCGTCTTCACTCCTCAGCCCATGGTTGAGTGCGTCGCGCCGGACCTGCAGTGCATGCTCCCGGGCAAGAAGCTGCCTATGCTTTGCCCTGCTCCCTCTTCGCCTTGTACTCCATGGCAGCCAGCATGGCCGACCGGACCCTTGTTGAGGCACCCGGACCCAGGCCCTGACCCCGCTCCAGACCCGCGGGTGGGGCCGGGCCTGGACCCTCTGCCGCCGCGGCAGCCTCGTCCCTGCCGCCAACAGCCGGGCCCGCCGCCCCGACGGCGCCTGGCAGACCGCCCGCGGCAGCAGCCTGCCGGGATCGGTACTCCAGCGCCGCTGCCAGCCGGTCGGTGGCTGTGGCCTTGGTCTTGGGGTTTTGCTGCGGAACAGGCGCCCCGCCTGCACCGGCGGGGAAGGTGGGGATCCGACGGCGTGTGGGACGGGTGATGCCTCATCCTGTCAGTGAGCATGGGAGCCTGGAGTGCCCAGTTCGAGACATCGCAGCCCCACGAACACCACCACCCCAGCGCCCTGTGCACACTCCCCAGCCACGCACACCTGGCCTGCCAGCCACCATGCCGCCGTCCAGGCTGCCGCGCACGGTGCCCGCGCCGTGGAACAGGCGCTGGCGGAGCAGGATGTAGTGCCTGTACCGCTCCAGCAGCCAGGGCACGCCCGCCGCCTGCACGTCCTGCATGGTTGGCTTGCGCCCGGCCCGGGCCTCGAAGTCGCTCACCCAGGGCCGCAGCGCCTCCTGCAGGCGGCGGAAGTGGTGCAGCTCCGCCTTGAAAGACTGCAGCACGCCCTGCTTGGTGGCCGGCGGCGCGGCGCGCACCGCCCCCCCGGCGCCAGGTCCCGCGAGCGGCGCGGGCGGCGCGGGCAGGCGGCCCGACCCCGACCCGGCCAGCGCCAGCTCGGCGCGATAGGCCCGCAGCGCGCGCGCCGTGGCGTGCCGCCTCGCCTGCCCCGCGGCGATGGCCGTCCGGTGCTCGGCACTCTTGGGCACGCCCGCCAGGTGCTCCCCCGTACACGCCGCGTAGGTGGACGGCGCCCGCGCGGTCTGGGAGGCGGCCATGCGCGCGCGCGTGCGCGCGCCGACCACCCGCCCCGTCCGCGCGACCGACATCTTGGCCCGGCAGGCGGCGCTCATCTCCCGGCCCTTATTCCAGGCCGGCTTCCCCTGTGTGGGAGAGTGCGAGAGATGGGTGGGGGTGTGCTGAGGGGCGCAGCCCCCGACACTCCCGCCCGCCGCCTTGACACACGCAGAGAGTGCGGCTGGGCTGCTGCATCGGCGGGCGCCTCCCCCCCCCTCCCCTCCCCACCAGGGCACACTCAGACCTTGAGCTTGGAGGAGACGGCGGCGCGGTACTCGGGGTCCTTCCAGCGCTGCGCGGCGCCCTGGCTCAGCAGCTGCCGGGTCTCGGGATCCATGGGGCGCCCCTTGTTCCACGCCTTCCGGGGGGGCCGGGGCAGCGCAGGCTCAGGGACCTGAGGTGTTGGAAGATGCTGGGCCATTGCATGGCCTCGCTGCTGAGGCTGATCGCAGGCGACATCCGATGCGATGCTTGCGTGCGCGGCTGCAGGCTGTGGGGCGGGGTGTGGGGGCCCAGCCACATCCGGCTGAGCGAGGACCTGGGGCCCCGAGACGGAGGCCAGGCCTGCGGGAGTGACCATTGAGGGTCGTAAGCTCGGGCATGGTGCCGACCAGCCCATTTCAACACAATCCGGCCCAGCGCACCGTGGGAGGAGGTAAGGCGTGTCCTCAGGGACCGGAGCGTGGGCAGCCCTCCTGTCGACGGCCGGCAGGCTGGGGGCCCAACCACCGAAGAACCGCCATGCGTCCACCGGTGCGGCCCCTTCCCTGGACGCATGCAGAGCGTCGTCATGCATGCAGCATGAGGCTCAGCAACGGCGCGATTGCATGCGCTCGCGCATGGGGTGGGGTCGCTGAATACCCTGGCTCTCCTTCTTGGGAGTCCCGAGGCGTACAAGCTAGCCCAGCCGCGAACACAGCGTATGCGGGAGCTTCCAGTGTACGTTATCAAGCTCCACAGTGTATATTGTACTCGGTCGCACCAGCGGGGGGCGCGTCACCACGCACAGAGTTGCATGGAGGGGCATGTTGCTGCACCGATCGTGCGCGCGCGTGTACCGGGATAAGGGCCCTCTCCGTTGCAGGAGCCCTAAGCAGCTCGGGTGAGAGGAATGTACATGATCTGCACCGATTACCACGCAAGCACACTCCTTGGCAGCATGAAACAAAGTCAGAAGACGGTCTGAGAGGCACTGAGCTCAGCGCTGGGGTTCAACGGACAGGCGTGGACCTGCCATCATTTACCCCGCGGTCGACGCTGCGACGGGGGCAGCTGCCCCAGGGATGGGGACCTGGTTGTCCTCTGGGTAGGCGTACGTGGGTGAGGCAGCCCTCTCCAGAGCCGCCCCCATCCACGCGAGGCGCTGCTGGGTCCAGGCCTCCAGTTCCTGGACCTCGGTTGTGAACTGGAGCTCCGGGGTCGCGTACCAGTCCTTGAGGGTGTACTGTCCCCACTTGCCAAAGTCACGTAGGATTGCGGGCTCGATCTGTGGCGGGTGGGGTGGAGTGTGGGGTTGCCCATGATGTATGGGTGGGCAAGGGGGCAAGTGAGAGGTCCTGTAAGGAGAGTACATTCATCGTTGCTAGACAGCCGGAGTTGGTTTCCCCCGTCGGTGCACCCTCCCACCACGCAGTCCAGCACCCCTCTCATTGAGCCCATCCCATTCCCGCCACCCCGTCCAGTGACACACCTCCTGCACGGCGTCGTTGATGAGCGTCGACACCTTGGCGTCCGACCAGTTGCTCGCCCGCAGCGCGGTGAAGCGGGTCGCGGCGGCCTCGCGGAAACGGGTGTCGTTCCACACCCGGCGGAACCAGCCGCTGATGCCGTCGTACGGGTCAAAGACGCAGCGCTCCTTGTCGGCGCAGATCAGGAAGCGCCAGCCGTTGGGGGCGATGGCCGAACCCCCCGCCACACCTGCAAGTAGAGGAGGGACATGCTTGCTGAAGGTGCCTTCCATTGTTGGTGCCAGCAACTCTGAGAGGATGCGGGACTCTCGGGTCTGGAAAACACACCAACAGGCCCAGCAAGGATGGGGCTGGCTGTCGACTGGTTTGCACACAGGGCCACCATCTGCCAGCTAAGTCTCCCTTCCCTTCAGCCCCCAGGCCCGTAACCCCCACGACCACCCCATCGCACCAGGCTCGCTCTTCCCATTCTCCTCGTAGCCCTCAAAGGGGAAGCCGCAGCATTCGCCAAAGGCCTCGTTGTAGTCCCAGGCAGGACCCATGGCGAGGGGCTGGTCGACGTCCTTGTGCATGTAGGTGGAGCCTCTGCTCGGCGGCAAGGGGTGAGGAGACTTGGTTGGGCGAGTGGCAGTGCATGGCGGTGCAGGAGACTGTGATGTTTTGGGGAGGGAGATCTTCATGCATCCCGATGCATGGCCGATGCCTTGGCAAGTCTACCCCGAAATCAAGAGCACAATGAATTGCATCCTCCGAAACACACCTGTACCCATCGGGGTTCTTGCTCAGCTCAGTGAAGAGGAAGTAGTCGACCCAGGAGGGGCCGTCCACATACTTGGTGTAGCCGTCCTGGGGGTCCAGCCATGTGTCAGCAAAAAGGGCTGTCTGAAGGTCGGTCAGGTACTTGGCCAGCCAGGCAACAGCAGTAGGCTCGTTCTTGGGGTAGCTGCGAGGCACAGAGGGCGAGGCAGGAGGGGGGATGGATGGGTGCAGTGGTCTGTGAATGGGCTGGGTTCTGATACCTTGTGCAGAAAGCAACATGGCGGGAGAGTCACCAAGCTGCAGGCCCCTTCATCATTGCCCACATGTCTGTGCCAGCCAGCAAATAATCCCACCAACTCTACCTGAGCACAAAGGGGTCCTCCATGCCGGGAATAGGTCCCACAGGGGTGTCGTCGGGCTTGATGTTGTCGTTCTCAAAGGCAAAAAGGTAGCCGCCCGTGGGGTTCTCTGCCGTCCACTTGCCAATGTCCACACGGTCATTGTCCTGCAGCAGGAGCGGTGTCATGAAGATCAACTCATGCATGCCAGGGAGAATGAGGCAGGTCCTGGGAGAAACGTGGGGGTAGGGGCCAGGGGAGCAGGGCCTTGAGGTGTGCACATCGAGGCATGCATCACCCATCCCAAGGCCCACCGCTCACCCGCTTGATCTTCTCCTCTCCAATGTAGATGCCGTTGTAGTTCTCCAGGGTCAGGGGGGCACCATCCTCCACCAGGAAGAGCTCGAACCAGACAGTCCTGGGTTGGGGGGAATGGCGAAAAGGTCTGGTGGCTAATCGAAGAGCAGCAGCAAGCCAACACCAATGGGATCCCACCCATCTAATTCACAGGCCTGGGAAGCAGGCCAAGGACCTCTACCTGGGGGAGAAATCTCTCAGACTCCACTCCATTGCAGGGTTACAACACCCTCACACACATCTTTTACCCACCTGGAAGCGTACTCTCCAGTGGCCCTTGCCATGTTGTAGGCCAGGTAGTTTCTCATTCCCAGGGTCAGATCCACCTCGTCCCCACCATACAGCACCCAGTCGTTCTCCTTAGGCATCCCCAGGAATTTGAGGTTGTCGTTGGTGCCATTGGGGTGGATGGTATTCATCTTGTAGGACCTGATTCCAATGTGTGGGGGAGGTGGAGAGTGAGAAGGGGGATTAGAGGGCCTGGCGTGCTGCCCATTTGCGGAGTCCAGAGGTCAACGCAGCACACGATGGAACATGGAGAGGCAGGGCTACAGCAGGCACAATGTCCTGACTCACTCCAGCTATGTCCCCCTCCAACCCCAAAGCCCAAAATGCCCCACTGCCTACTTTTTGGCAGCCTTCTTGCTGCTGTTGCCACGCACTCCGACCTTGGCCTCTCCCTCGTGACTCTTAAAATCGGCCCCATTGGGGCAGGTGCAGTAGTTGAGGACCACCGTCTCCTCCAGGGGAATGGGTTCCGTGCTCTCCAGGATCACCACGGGCAGGGTGCCGGTCCAGCCCAACGCTTCCAGCCTCGCGCAGCAGGCTCCAGATTCCGCCTCAGGGGCTGGTGCGGCGTCTGCCTGCTGGAGACTCCGGGTGGAGGCACCCTGGCAGAGGGCTGCGCACGCGGCAAGCGCGAGTGCAACCGCACTCCAGCGCATGGTGGGCAGCGACGGCGTGACGACTATTATACTCGACGCGGCAGGCTTTCGAATCTCTCAGAACTTGGTGCAAGACATTACATCGAGAAGGGACAGCTTTAAATGCCCATGTGCACAGCTGCCACCCTCGGCGGGGCTGGGGTGGTTCAGTCTTGGACCAAGCTACGGCTCCCTGGCAGGCTCGCGCCCGTGAAGAACCCGTGTCCGCAATTCTGGGCACCGGCACAGGCTCTTGTGCCCTTGGAGGATACCGCGTGGGTAATCATATACAATACTGTCAAGCTGATCGCGACGATGCTTTAGGTTGTACTGGGCGCACGCCTGGTCACTTCGACGCGCTCGTACCTACACACGGTGGTGATCGGGGGCGCCCCTTGCCTTGACATATTGTCTTTAAGCTAATTCGCCATTAGAAACGCAAATCATGCCAATGAGGGAAGCTTCGGCACTGCCTGCAATAGCTGATGGTGACCCTGAGTCGAGCTTGCAGAGCGGGACCCCTGCACAGGCATTGCAAATGTCCAATCGATCCCCGCATCCCTCGTGGCTCCCTTGTGGTCTTTTATGGAGTGGATGTCACCTTAACTCAAGCAAGTATAGAGCACAAGTATTCGTGGCCAACTTCTCAAAAGATGCATAGACTTGGCAGCGGTGTGGCTGGGCATTCAGATATATAACAGAGGTTGGGTCATGTGGATTACCTGAATGTTCACCCAGCCAGACTTGCGGTAGCAATGGTGGGGAAGTTCTCGCCGGCAGGCACTAGGATGAGGTCGCTGGTGGGGTACACATACTTCCCAGAGGCCACCAGACTGAACTCTGCATCCAGCCACCCCAGCCTCTGCATGAGCCAGGTCTCCAGGTCCTGGACCTCTACAAGACATTCAAGGGAGGAGGTCCAGTCCAGGGTCAGATGCCTGCAGGTTCTGGGGCTACTGATGCAAGAAACCTGCCTCCGCAGCATACCCAGATTCCGTGACACCCAAGCCCTTGGCTGCAATTGCACAAGAAACTCACCGGCGGTCCACTGGGCCTCGGTGGAGGCATACCAGGACTTGAGCAGGACCTTGGAGTAAACCTTGTAGTCACGTGTGACGGCCGGGTGGATCTGCAGGGCGTTTTTGGGGGGCGGCGGGGTTTGGCATGAGCCTCACGTGTTTGCGGCCAGGTTCGATGCGCGGTGTCAGGTGGGAATGACACACCCGGCAGGTTTCAACGAGAGCGGCTGCGTCGCTGCACACCCCACCCATAACAGGAGCCCAGCCTCCCCTTGCCTTGACGGCCGTGCTGTTGATGAGGCTGGAGATGGCGTCGTCCGACCAGGCATCCGCCCGCAGCTCGGCCCACCGCTCGGCCGCGGCCACGCTGAAGCGGGTGTCGTTCCACATGCGCCTGAACCATGTGCTGACCCCGTCGGTCGGCTCCACGATGCACCGCTCCGGGTCCTCGCAAACCAGGAAGCGCCAGCCGTTGGGAGAGATGGACCCACCCCCGGCGATGCCTGGTCCGCTCTTTCCACCCTGCTTGTAGCCCTCCAGCGGATACCCACAGCACTCCCCAAAGGCCTCGTTGAAGTCCCAGGCGGGACCCATGGCGATGCCCTTGCCGGCATCCTTGTGCATGTAGATGGAGTCCCTGTGGTGGAATTGCGAGGAGGGTGCATTGGACTGGTGAAGCCTGCTAAGGGCGGGGCAGGGACTGGTGCTGATGCACATGTATGGGCACAAGGCGATGGTTGACTCACTGATCTAAATGGTTAACAGAGGGCCCACCCAGCACAGACCCGCCAGATGCCGGCCAGCCTCGTCCTCCCATAGCCAGAGCACTCCCACCCTCGCTACCTGTAGCCGTCGGGGTTCTTGGTCACCTCTGTCAGCAGGAAGTAGTCGATGAAGGTGGGCGCCTCAATGTACTGGGTGTACCCCGGGCTGGCTGTCAGGTAGTCGTCGGCCAGGATGGCGGTGTTAAAGTCCAGCAGGTACGTTGACAGCCAGCTGGAAGCCAGCTTGTTCTCGCTGGGCACCTTGGACTTGGGATACCTAGAGGTGCGTGTGAGTGTGTGGAGGGGAATAGAGAAGGGGTTGCTCCATGCTTTCGCTTTGATACGTGTACAGCGCTGTCAAGCTGGGGGTCACCTCCCAAAAGCCCTGAAAACCCAGCGGATAGAGCCAAATCAGGCGGCAGCCTTTGCGCAGTCAGGCTGCCACCCCATGTACCCCTTGTCAGCACGCACTTGATGACAAATGGGAAGTCGTAGCCGGGCAGGGTCGCCGTCAGGAGGTCCGTCGGCCCATAGTTGTTGTTGTCGAAGGCGAAGATATAGCCGCCAGACGGGTCGGCGGTGGTCCACTTGGTCACATTGACACGATCTTTTCCCTGGCAATGGCATGGTGGGGGAGGAGCGGCATGAAAGGTATGGACGACAATATTAAAGTGTACCTACACAAGAGTTGTAAGAGTCATGCCTAGCTTCAAACTTGTAATGAGCTCTGGGAAGGGTAGCAAAATTGTGTCGTGCCAGGAAATTACTGGCGTCTGGGGTTGGCTACTCACCATCTCTATACATACACTGGTCTCCCCCCACCCCGCCCGCAGCACTGTCCATGTGTTCCTCCAGTCAACATAACAATGCCTACGTCTCCTTTGTGCCCTCCACTCACCCGTCCTATGTGCTCCTCGCCGATGTAGATGCCATGGTAGTCGGAAGGGGCGATGGGTCTACCCTCAACCACCAGAAACACCTCGATCCAGACGGTGCGGGTGGCGTACTCGCCCGATGCACGAGCCAGGTTGTAGGCCACGTAGTCCCTCATGCCGTCGGTCAGGTCCACCTCGTCCCCGCCGTACAGCACCCACTCGTTGCCCTTGGGCATGCCGAGGAAGGAAGCACTGTTCTTGGTGCCATTCTTGTGTGTCAGTCGCAGCGTGAAGGACCTGCAGGAGAAGTGGTGGTTTGCAGGCTAATTGGAGGTGAATGGGCCTTGTAAAAGAATGGTATACTGAGTAAGGTGCAGAGATACATGCTCTTGATGTGTACCAGGCGGAGCAGGTGAGGCCAGCTACCAAGCGTAATCGGTGCTGCCGACACCCACCACACGGTTTCGGCACATTCCGGTTTTCATGTGCCAATCCGGATCCGTACTCACTTTTTGTCGAAGAGTGCACTGCTGGATCCATGCACGGACGCCACGCCGGTGCCATTGTATTCCTTGAAGCCGGCGCCATCGCTGCACGTGCAGGCCCGCACCTTCACGTCCCCACCCTTGTTCGTGATGTTCTTGCCGCCCGTGTCCAGCACCACCACCGGCAGGTTGCTCGAAAACCCAATGGCGGCCAGATCCTGGCAACATGAATTGCTTTTGTCCTCCGCTGCAGGTTCCTTGGCCAGCAGGCGCCGGGAATCGGCAGACGCCTGGGCTAGGAGTGCGGTCATGACCGCAACCAAGATCAAGATCTTCATGAGGGGTCCGTGTCCTAGGCAATTCCACAGCACTGAGGGTGGCGGTAATTGCGGTAATCTACACTTTTTGAGTCCCCCGCACAGCCAATTTATGCCAAACGTTGAACCTCGGGCCCAAGACGCAGCAGTTTCCAGCTTCTTCTTGGACCAGCCACGGCCAATGTGCTTCGCCTGATCGATCTCGCCGCTGGGACATGCACAACCACGTGGAGCGGACTCCTTTCGCAGGACACCTCACACAGCGCAGCTGCATAAGAATGCCAATTCTCGATGTATAGAAGACGGTTTTAAGAGGGGCATGGTGCTATTCTCCCCCCCAGCACCCCTCCACTGCCACGATGAACACGGACCCACCCTCCGGTCCCTTAGAGAAGCACGTCATCACCGATGATGGTGGCGTTGTAAAGTTCATATTGCGAGAAGGGAGGGGGACCTGTCCCCCCAAGCACGCCCGGTGCCTAGGTGGGTGGATCACTCCGCTGGGTCGCTGCAAGCACGCCGATCAACATCCAAATTCAAGGCCTCCCCGCACCCCACACTCCCGCAGTTCACTATGTGGGTAGATTAGTGGAGGGCGATGCCGTGTTCATGGACACGCGGTCGGAGGGGCAGGGCGAACCGGTCAAGCTCGTCGCTGGCAGGGGTGAGCATGGGGCAGCGGAAGTGGGCATTGGTAGCCATGAAATACACCGCGCAGGCGTCACCATGGTTGCCTTGCTCACCACATGGCACCCATCCCTTAGCCCAGTCAACACTGCAAGGGAGACGGGCCTGAACCTGGCGGTTGCGACCATGGTGCCGGGCGAGCTGGCAAGGATAGAGGTGGCGCCACGGTATGGATTTGGCGTCGCCGGATCCTTCAGCTTCCCGACCGTGCCGCCCCATGCCGGTCTAGTGTACGAGCTGGAGCTTCTGGACTATGAGGAGGTGGATGAGGTACGGGGCGGATTCTGCTTGGTCCCTCATTGCATGCGGCTGCAAAGGGTGGGCCAATCCTTGGAAACTTGCAGGCGGGATACCAGAGGCTGCCTTGGTTTGATATGCTCTTGGAAATCTGTATGACTTGAGTGAGTTTGGCATGCAACACAGTCCATGCCCATTCCGGCAGTTTCCCCTTCCCTTGTTCAGGATGCCAGGGTGGGGTCCATGCTGTTTGAGGACCGGCTGGAGGCGGCGGAGCGGCGCCGCGCCGAGGGCAACGCTCTCTTCAAAGCCGGCGACGGCGAGATGGCGCTGCGCAGGTACCACCTGGCGTTGTCCTACCTGGATGCCGACCTGCTCATGCAGCTGGAGGGCCGGCACCTCGACGCCGCCCAGGCCATCCGCGCGCCCACCCTGTCCAATGTGGCCGCCGTGCTGCTGAGTCAGCGCGACTGGGCGGCGGCGGCGGCCGCCGCCGGCGAGGCGCTGGCGATGGGGGTGGAGGCCGCCCGGCCGAAGCTGCTGTACCGCCGAGGCCTGGCGCGCAGGGCACTGGGTCAAACCGACGCGGCGGTGGAGGACCTGCACGAAGCGGCGAGGCTGGCGCCGGGCGACGGCCTGGTGCGGCGGGAGCTGGCAGAGGCGAAACGGGAGCAGCGTGAGGTAGTGGGCAGGGGTTGGGGGGGTGGATACGGCTGGGGATGTATGCATTGTTGTGTGAGCATCAGACAGGGCATGCAGCTTCGTGTGGTGCCAGCAAAGTACATGGGTATCTCTGTTGAAAAATCTTCATCCACGACAGAGTACATGTACCCCTCGGCACGCCTTGTTCCGCAATTGAATCGCGTGAACTCGCGCTGCTGGCCCCATACATCTTTTTTTATCCAATCCCACTCAGGAACGAGCGTCTGGAGCCCGGCTGTTTGGTGGGGTGCTGGGGAGGCCCCAGGCGCCTGTCGGACTGGCCCCACCCAGCCAATGCAGACCCGCACATCCTGCGGCGGCCCCCACACCTCACCTGCTGCAAGCTGCATGGGCCTGGGTGCTGGCATGCTGGTTGGGGCTCTGGGCACTGTGTGTGCGCTGGGCAGCCCGGTATACCCGGAAAAGGCACGCCGTGTAACGCCAGCCAGTGGAGCCGGATCCCGGAGGATCAGGCCCTGGATTGCGTGGCCAGGGCGGATTTCGCCTCGGCGCGCCCTGAGTCAGCCCGGCAGGGGTCATCACGCGCGGGTCTGCCCTCCGGATAAGTCCCATGCGCGGCGCTGTCCTCCTCAAATCAGTCGGAATAAATCTACTAGGTCATCAGCCATGGGGCGCAGCCGATCCCTCTCCCGCCTGGTGGCCCTGCTGAGGGGCCCTGCCCTGGCAGGGAGTGCCACGGGGGGTGCCCTACCCCTGCAAGGCGTGCAGCGATGCGCCGGATCTACCTCCATGTTCACAGGTGGGATGCATCCATGCTTGTAGCTCGGCACCGTACCGCTGCTGCGAAGATGTGGCCAGCGCATCCCAGGTACCGACCGCCGCGGAGCCCGCGGAGGTCCGTTCATCACCCCCCTCCGGGTCCCTCCCCACAGGCGCATGTCGCCTCCCATGTTCCTCCGGACCCATCCCGAGCTTTGCGAGCCGGGGGGTGCGGGCGATCTCCATCGAGTCCTTGCAGCCCAGCGACACGTGCGATGCCTGGTGGCATGGAGGCGTCGTCGATCGTGGCTGCAAGCAGGCTCAGGGGCCCTGTCGGGGCACCTTTTCCTGATCCCATCGATGATCTGACATGTCTGGCACCATGCTTTCACAGATCCTCATCCCCTCCTTCCCTCTCTGGCTCCTGCCCAGGTTTGAGCCGCGGCACAACAGCATCACCCCAAACGAGGTGAAGGAGATGGTGGGCCTGCTGGGCTTCGACTCCCTGGACGCCCTGATCGACGCCACTGTGCCGGCCTCCATACGGCGCGAGGGTGTGATGGAGCTGGCCAACTCCCACCCTGACGGCATCACAGAGTCCGCCTTCATCAAGGAGTTTAGGTGCGGGCTCAATGGGTGGTGGCGGGATCCACCTCTCGGGGGTTGCAGTGTGTTCCTTTCTGAGTCCTGCATGACAACCTCTCCTGAGCCGCACCGCCTCCACTGCCAGCGCCTGTGCCTGAGTACCATGTCCCCACCAAGTCATCGCCCCCCCCTCGCTCTTAATTAATACATGGCCCCCACCCTCTCTCCTCCAAGCTCCCCCGATTCGACACATCCCCCCTTTCCCAATCGCCCAGGGCTCTGGCGGAGCAGAACAAGGTGGCCTCCTCCCACATCGGCATGGGGTACTACGGCACCATCACCCCCCCCGTCATCCTGCGCAACATCCTGGAGAACCCCGGGTGGTACACCCAGTACACGCCCTACCAGGCCGAGATCGCGCAGGGGCGGCTGGAGGCGCTGCTGGTCTTCCAGACCATGGTCTCCGACCTCACCGCCCTCCCCCTGGCCAACGCCAGCCTGCTCGACGAGGGCACTGCCGCGGCCGAGGCCATGGCAATGTGCAGCGCGCTGGCGCGCGGCAAGAAGCCGCGCTTCCTCGTCTCCGAGCGCTGCCACCCGCAGACCATTGCGGTGGTGCAGACCCGCGCCAAGGGCCTGGGCCTGGAGGTGGAGGTGGGCGACGAGACCGGGTTTGCCTTTGACGACACCACCTGCGGCGTGCTGCTGCAGTACCCCGCCACCGACGGCTCGGTGCGCGACTACGCCGAGCTGGCCGCCGCGGCCAAGGCCGCGGGGACCAAGGTGGTGGTCGCCACCGACCTGCTGGCCCTGGCGGCGCTGGCCCCGCCCGGGGAGTGGGGCGCCGACGTGGCGCTGGGCAGCGCCCAGCGCTTCGGCGTGCCCATGGGCTTTGGCGGTCCGCACGCCGCCTTCCTGGCCTGCCGCGAGGAGTACAAGCGCGTGCTCCCCGGCCGCATCATCGGCGTCAGCCGCGACTCCACCGGCACCCCGGCCCTGCGCATGGCCATGCAGACGCGGGAGCAGCACATCCGCCGCGACAAGGCCACCAGCAATATCTGCACCGCGCAGGCCCTGCTGGCCAACATCTCCGCCATGTACGGCGTGTACCACGGTCCCGAGGGCATCGCCAGGATCGCGCAGCGCGTGGCCGGGCTGGCCGGCGTGCTGGCGGCGGGCGCGCGCCGCCTGGGCCTGGAGGTGGGCGCCGACCCCTTCTTCGACACCGTGCGCATCACCATCCCCGACGCCGACGCGCTGGTGAGGGCGGGGCACGAGGTGTGCATCAACCTGCGGAAGCTGGACGGCGCGACGGTGACCGTCGCGCTGGACGAGACGTGCGGCCTGGCGCAGGTGGACGCGCTGCTGGCGCTGCTCAACGGCGGCGCCGCGCCCGACTTCGACGCGGCCTCGCTGGCCGCCGACGCCTCCACCGGCATCGGCGGCGCGGCGCGGTCCAGCCCCTACATGCAGCACCCCATCTTCAACAGCTACCACACGGAGCACGAGATGCTGCGCTACCTGAAGCGGCTGGAGAACCGGGACCTGTCCCTGGCCCACTCCATGATACCCCTCGGCTCCTGCACCATGAAGCTGAACGCCACCAGCGAGATGCTGCCCATCACCTGGGACGAGCTGGCGGCGCTGCACCCCTTCGCCCCCGCCTCCCAGACTGCGGGCTACGCCGCCATGTTCGAGGCCCTGGCCCAGCAGCTGGCGGAGATCACCGGGTTCGACGCGGTGTCGCTGCAGCCCAACTCCGGGGCCAGCGGCGAGTACGCGGGGCTGGCCACCATCTGCGCCTACCACGCGGCGCGCGGCGACGCGCACCGCCGCGTCTGCCTGATCCCTGTGTCGGCGCACGGGACCAACCCCGCCTCGGCCGCCATGTGCGGCCTGCGCATCGTGCCGGTGGGCGTGGACAAGCAGGGGAACGTGGACATCGAGGAGCTGCGCGCCAAGGCCAAGGAGCACGAGAAGGAGCTGGCCGCGCTGATGATCACCTACCCCTCCACCCACGGCATCTACGAGAACGGCATCGACGAGGTGTGCGACATCATCCACGCCGCGGGCGGGCAGGTGTACATGGACGGCGCCAACATGAACGCGCAGGTGGGACTGACCGCGCCGGGGCTCATCGGCGCCGATGTGTGCCATCTGAACCTGCACAAGACCTTCTGCATCCCGCACGGGGGCGGCGGGCCTGGTGGGTCGGGGTCGGTTGTTTGAGGTGGGTGGGAGTGTCTTGCCGATCTGGAGGGTCACGGTGCGCTGTCGAATCCATAGGAGTCGGGAAGGGGAGCTGAGCCTGAGGTCTGTCGGGCTGGCAGGCAAACCAGTGCTCGCTTGCGCTTCATTGGCCGGACCCCCACTCTTTCACCCTCCCCTCCCACTCCACACACACACGCCAACCCCGCCCCCCCAACCCTGCCAGGCATGGGCCCCATCGGGGTCAAGGCGCACCTGGCCCCCTTCCTGCCCAGCAACCCGGTGGTCCCCACGGGGGCGCTGCCCAACTTCAAGTCGGACGAGCAGGCCTGCGGCGCCATCTCCGCCGCGCCCTTTGGCTCGGCCCTCATCCTGCCCATCTCCTACGCCTACATCACGCTCATGGGCGGCAAGGCTCTCGCCAACGTGAGCATGATGGGGTGCCTGGGGTGTGATCCCTGTCGACAGCTCGTGGACTCCTTGGTCAGGCTTGACGATCCCCCACCTGTCGCCTCTTGCCTCCACCCCCCCCCCCCCCTCTCCTCCTCCCCAAAATCACCGCAGGCCTCCAAGCTGGCCATCCTGAATGCCAACTACATGGCCAAGAGGCTGGAGAAGCACTACAACGTGCTCTTCCACGGCCCCAACGGCACCTGCGCCCATGAGTTCATCCTGGACATCAGGTGGGGGAGGTGGGGGTCCTGGCCTGCAGTCATGCAGCTCGCAGAGCTCTGTGCAAGCCTGGTCTGATACAAGGGAAGAACACTCGCAATGTCTGGTCTCAGGAAGTCAACCAACCCTCCTTTCTTTCCCACCCATAGGCCCCTGACTTCCAGCTCGGGAATCGAGGCAGAGGACATTGCCAAGCGTCTGATCGACTACGGCTTCCATGGACCGACTATGTCCTGGCCAGTGTCAGGTGCAGCCTGGGTGTCTTGGCAGGGTGGTGCATGGAGGCTGATTTCTGGATGTATAAGAGCAGGGACCCTGCAGGATGTTTTTCCAGTGCGCGGATGCAGCATGTGTAGTTTGTCCCCAGCCTGTCCTGAGTCCAGCCGGAACTCCAGCACACCTGGCCCCAACATGCTCACCCACCCCTTTTCAACTACTGCAACCAGGCACGCTGATGATCGAGCCCACCGAGTCCGAGAGCAAGGCCGAGCTGGATCGTTTCGTGGAGGCCATGATCGGCATCCGGGAGGAGATCGCGGAGATCGAGTCCGGGAAGGCCGACCGGGCGAACAACGTGCTGAAGCACGCCCCGCACCCCGCCCACGTCGTCATGGCCGATGAGTGGGACAGGCCCTACTCCCGCGACAAGGTGGGCAGGAGGATTATTTGGGAGGGGAGGAGTAAGGGAGAATGTCAGCATTACATGTGGGTGCCTTGCTCCCGACTCTGAAGGGGTGGTGACAACATGGTGCACCAGGGCAGACCCCTGGCCTCACTCCTGCCAGACAGCGTCATGCCATCCTTGGTGACCCCCACCTGCTCTCCTCTCCCTGTTCCGCAGGCCGCGTACCCCGCTCCCTGGGTGCGCCAGTCCAAGTTCTGGCCCACCACCTGCAGGGTGGACAACGTGTATGGCGACCGCAACCTGGTGGTGCGCATGCCCGACGTGCCAGAGACCCCGGCGGGGACGCGCGGCGCTGAGGTGGTGGCCCCCTGATTGACCCCGGGTGCTTGCACGGGACAGAAATAAGGAAACAGCTGCCGATGCAGCTGCACTTGAGTGAGACGATCATGTACATGCACCATCCATTGGGAACAGGGATGCGGGGAGATGGGGTTTGGGTTCGCTTGTGGGCAGAGCGATGATGAGAGGAGGAGCGGGGTTCAGGACCGCCCTGAGTTGGGAAATTCCCAATCAGCCTGCAGTCGTGGGGAAATATGGAGGCATGCACAGAGGAGAGCGGCAAAGGTTCTGGGGTGGCTGTGCAAACCGCAAGACATGAGTATCTGAGGGCGCACAGATTCTTATGTGTCCACCATGAGCAGGTGGAGAAATTTATGGCTTTCACTGCCTGAAATTATCTTCAACGCGAAGCAATGCAGTCCTGTCTCTTGCTGGTACTGAGATCCATCTTTGACTAGAGGGATATGTCGAAGGATCCCTTCGAAAGATCATTAGAAGCTGCCCCACTAAACTGCCCTTGACACCTTTATGGGACGAATTTACCCAGTAGGTACCACTAAGAAGAGCCACATTTTCATCAACAGGGCCATGCTCATTAAACAAACAAGTGTTGTGCACCATTAAGACATAACACAGGACCCAGATGTATTCTAAACCTGGCCAAATATGTACTTAGCCTTGGCATGCAGTACTGTTAGCGTGTCAGGGTTCGACACCGTACCTCCAGCACTGCACCACGAAAACACGTTAGACTCATCCTCAATAGCGCGAAGCATGGGTGAGCATCACCATGCTCGAGGAATCGAATGTTCGCATCGTTCCAGGCTATTCACATAAGGGTTGCAAAAGTGAGTAATTGATCGTAGTCTCCCGAGGCTGCAGGACTCGACGCAAGCCATGGGATCAAGCTCTTCTAATAATAACAGTGTAACCGGCGACGAATGCTCGTGCTATGCATGGACCTGATTTTTTGTAGAGTTCGATGACATCGGACTAGACACGTAGGAGATCGTGCACCCGCTCATCGTGTCCCTCGAGGGCTCAGAGAACTTTCGCCCCCGCCTCCAAGCTCGATCTCCGAGTGGACAGGAAGGCAATGATGACCCTCCAATCGTGCAAGACAATCTCTATCACGATATTACACAGTGCATGCCCATGCATCCGTACATGTCGTACCCCTTCCTTCGCCCCATGCTGTTTGAGTTTCCATCGGCCCCCCCCCCCCGTCCCGGGGATCAGGAACTGTAACACCCGAGCAATCAGAAACACTCTGTGCGGCCCATGAAGCGAGCGATGCATCTCAAACGAGCCCATGTCCACTTCTTATACGTGTGTAAAGGAAAAAGTTCTAATCAAATGGATGTACGAAGCCCATTCCAATGTCTTCTTAGTACGGAGTGAGTATGGGGCATGGGCCTCACGCGGCAGGAGTGCTCAGGATCGTCCCGTACCTCGTCGTCATGCTCCTGGGTCCCAGTATCGCGTCGAGCGCATCACTGGTGAGTATTCTGTGTATTCAGGCCCGACAGAAGCCAGGGTTCGGCCTCGGGATAGTCTCACACGCATGTCGAGCGCACTTTGCGTCGGGATGATTCATTACAGGCAGTCCTACCGACCCTTTCGCTCCTACGCGACGAACACGTAAAAGGGGACGAAAACTCACCCCCTCCGCCACCGCAGGCCCCCGATCTCTCCAGCTCGTGCATCCCTGGCTCGGCCTGGGAAGCTGTGACTGGGGCAGCCACCCTGTATCCCATTGATGTCTGGGTATGGGCCCTGGACAACCTGGGTCTCTCCCTGCTCCTAAAAAATGAGACCCAGGCACCTACCCTCTTCATCCCTTTGAACAGCGTAACTCAGAACGAGAGCATTGCAGGTACGTCAGTTCCAAGTCAATGTTCCCTGAGATGTTCAGGAGCATGGAGTCTCCAGCCACTCAAATGCACCTTCCCTCTCTTGCCATTCAAGATCCCCTGAGGGCAGGGCTCAGGAGGCACTATACACGGCTCTTCCTGACCAGCCCCGACAGTGTTGGCATCATGTTGCTCCACTGGTTCCAAGATAATACCACCTTGCTCCAGCCCTTCATCAATGGCTCCGACGCGCGCATCCCCACGGTGTCGATCGACGAGCTGCAGGTTTGGCAAGGGGGGTGTCAGGAGGAAAGTTGGGGTTGCTTGCGCCCAGCAACCGATCGACGGGGGCAAACGCACCTGGCTGAGGATCCCAGGTCCCACCCATTCCGCGTCCATGGGCACAAGCGCAGCTGGGGCCGGTCACTCCCCTTGCCCCTGACCCACCCTCCAGATGGAGGCCACCCTCTCATCCTCTGCGGTCACGCCGTCGAGCCAGAGCCGTCCCATCCTGGACACACTGGAGAGCTGCAGAGGGGCCACGATCCACATCATCGACTCCGCCTTCGTGATGAGTGCGCCCCCCGTGGTCGACCTCGCCCAGGTCCCGGGGCTGGAGGGCCTGTGCTGGCGGTCGCGGACCGTGGTGGACAACCAGGGTGCGATCACGGTGGGCGCCGCCTACATCGACAAGCTCCGCATATACCCCATGATGCTTGGCCTGCTGGATGGGAGGTTCCCAGACATGCCGGGCACGGCCTTCCCCCTCCGTCCGGCGGCAAACATCACGCTCCTCGTCCCGAATCCAGACTCGGTCAGCAGCATGCTTCAGCAGCTCGGTGGGTGTCTTCTATACGATGGCGGGCGACCTGAGGGGTCAGAGTGTGTTGTGTGCGGCCAGATGTTGGGAGTGGGCAGGCGGTGCTGGTCTGTTGCACAGGCGGAGGCTGGTGTCGCACCATGCTGCCCCGAGATCGGGCCACCCACCACCAAACATCTGCGCAGAGATGGTGCCGGCCTCGGAGCCGGAACGTGTGGCGACCGTTTTTGGGCAGTATGTGATTCCAGGTGAGGGAAGCTGGAGAGCAGTCATGTGAGGCTGATGAGAGCGTGTGGGGAGAGAGGATGTTGGAGATGGGCGTGCATGCTGAGTGCCGGGTTGGAATCTGATCAAGGTAGCCTGGGCTCTCACCCGAATCCCCTGCCGGCAAACTCTTGTGACGTTGCCAGGAGGGTATTGTGAGGGAGGGATCCTCGGCGCCGGCAAGGTCCAGCCCATCTCTGGATTGGCAACGGGCACCGACATGGGCTACACCTTCCGACCCGCAGACGAGAAAGGCCAGGCAAGTTGATTGAGCTGGCTGCCTCGTGAGCGTGCTTGAATTGCAGGGCCTGGTGACCGAGTCTCCTCCAGTGGGAGCCACCCCGGTGCCGATCTCGCCCCTTCGCACCCACTCTCCTTGTGTGCTCTCTGCCCGCCGTCATGTCCAGGGTGAGTTGACCCTCCTGCACTCTCCAAGATCCCCCTGTGCAGGTATACATCACCATGGCCAGCACGGGCAAGGTCCTGAAGGGCTATTTTGGAAACCCTGCCTGCTATACAATGGCCCTCGTGGTCAATGACACATTCATGCGGTGGGACAGGTGGGAGGACATCCCCCCATCGCGCCTGGACCCGTGGCCAACCGTCGACCAAGAGGCCCTCCTGGGATTGGACCCTCAGTGTCGGCCCGGCGATGTCTTGATTGGAGTAAGATGGAGGCTACCCTAACATTGCACGAGTGCACTGGCTGTCCAGGGGGATACACAAGTGGAGTGCAGGTGGCTGTACTCCATCGGCACGGCTGCTGCAATGTGTCGACCGTTGTATCAAAATCCCTCTCTTCACAGGGGGAGTTAGAGTCCACAGAGGCACCAACACCCGCGAGCTCAGACCCAGAGGACGGCGGCCTGAGTGGGGGCGCAATTGCTGGTATCGTGATTGGCACCCTGGTCGGCGTAGCCCTGGTGGGCCTCCTGGTCTGGATCTTCCTCCTGCCCAGCCGCCCTTGGCTGCCAGCAGATCACGGGGTGAGGACGGGGATGCTGGGGAAGGATGGTTGACTCTTTGGAGAGTTTTGGCATGCACATGCCAGGTCACTATCTCTCTGTATAAGAGGTGAGTCACTCACATCACTGGTGTTCTCTTGCACATGGTCAGCTGACGGAAGGCGAGGAGGGAGGGTCCAGCTCTGACTCCAGGAGCATCAAGAGTGAGGCCTGGGGTGGCGGTCGCTTGGGCTGTTTAGACATTCCTGACACAGCCTTCCACTTGCCTATGCACTCCCGCTTACCCGGCAGGAAAGGCTGGGTATTCAAGATGTCACAAGTCTGACTTTATGTTTTTATTTCTGAAGAACTCTCCAGACACTGCTCACTGCCTGCCCATCCCACTGCCACCAGGCCTTGGGGCGCAGCTGCTCCAGCCCTTCCGGAGGGTATCTGCCCCGCCCTCCTCCCATCACTATTTCCTTCCGGCAACCGAGTTTGAGTTTGATGTGGACCCCGAGTCTGGCGAGCGCAAGCTTCTGGGTCGAGGTCGATTCGGAGAGGTACTGGGTGGATGGGGAGGACTGGGTGTTGTAAGGTTGTCTAGAGACTGCCCCTAGCCTCACACACGTGCTCGCACTCCTTGACACCCCACCCACTCTGCTCCCTGCCAAGGTGTACTCTGGGAGGCTTCGGAATGGGGAGCTGATGGCCATCAAGGTTCTCCTGGGCGGGGACCAAACCGAGGCCGCCCAGCTCGTCATGGAGGTGGGTTGGGGCATGGTGACCCATTACCCTGGGAAATGGGTGGGCACACACTCGAGTAGGGGGCAAGCCTGGCTCGTAGGTAATGAATCTGTCTGCCGAGATGGGCTGCAGGAAGCACGAACCATGCCCTTGGTCTATTTTACCCCCGGCAAGTGCGCATTGCAGAGACGTCATGCAGAAGTTGAGAGTCCAGCAGCCACTAGTACCACCCTCATCATTGCCCATCTGGAAACCTTCGCAGAAGCGGCTGCTGCGGGAGATCGAGATCCTGAAGACCTGCCGCTCCAAGTACATTGTCAGCTTCATGGCCATGGGCACAGACCCGGTCAGCGGCAACACCCTGCTCTTCATGGAGAGAGCCCTGGGTGGTGACGTGTGGAGCGGGCTGCGTGCCAAGCGCCTGGACTGGCACCGTCAGGGCTGGCGCATCGCGCTCGATGTCGCCAGGGGCCTGGTGTACCTGTCCATCAGAAAGTGGGTTTGGGGGGGTTGGAAATGGTGTGTGTGGTACTGATTGACCGGTCGAGGAGGCCGTATAAGTACAGATCGTCTGGGGATGTGCGCGGGTGGGGGGCTGTGTGTGCCAGACTGGCAACCTGCAGCTCACCCAGGAGGAGGAGGGATGAGTTCCTCACAGTGCAAGGCCTCCGGACTGACGCAAGTAGAGGCATGGTTTGCGCTCCGTGCAAGGTGCACCTCAGCCCCAAGTGAGCCCCTGCATGATCCCTTCCCCCCCGGAAATCCCCAGGATCGTGCACAACGATCTGAAGACCTCCAACATCCTCCTGGACGACTACGGCAGCGCCAAGATCACCGACGTCGGCCTCGCCCGCATGCTGCCTGCCACCTTCACAGACCCACTGTACAATCGGCAGCGCGAAGGTCTCGCCCTTTGGGCGTTGGTGGGCTGCCCGCTACTCTGTTTACTTCATGGATTTGCGTCGAGGTTGGGCATCTGAATACCCTCCTTGCCATTGAGGAGTCTCAGGCTCCAGTTTCCTACGGCGTTCCCCTCTGCTGCAGGTGGTACCTTCAACTGGTGCTCGCCGGAGGTCATCCTCGGGCTGCGGACCACTGCCCAGTCTGACATGTACAGCTACGGTAAGGGTGGGCATGATTTGAGTCGTTTGGCAACCAGCATGCAGGCATACACCAGCGAGGGCCATGCTGGTGGAGCGCATCAACACGAGACAAAAGCCCAGAGGGATCGATACCAATGATCCTTGCACTACTTTCCGTCATCCGCCCACAGGGGTCGTTCTCTGGGAGCTGGTGACGTCCGAGATCCCCAAGCGGGGGAAGATGCGACCCATCAGGTGGGTGGGTGTTTCCAGGTGCCAGGTCATGCTAGGAGCAAGGGCAGCAGACCTCGCTTCAACCCCCTTCACCCATTCCTTGCAGGGTACCGGAGGAGTGCCCAGAAGCGGTGGTTAACCTCATGGAGGCCTGCTGGTCGGCCGAGCCCAAAAGCCGGCCCAGGGCGGAGGAGGCGGTTCGCATCCTGAGCTCCCTGTATGAGACGCCGGAGGGCGCTGGCGCACGCTCATCTTGAAGGCGTCTGCTGCTTCAATCCGGCACCGAGCTCATGGTCCTGAATACCTTGGAATTCCCTGCAAAGAGGGTGGGACCCTGATTGGCGAGAGGTACAACGCCTGCATGGACCGTCAGTGGCCCGGCCGAGGTGGTCCTCGCGCGGCTCGAATGCATCCCGCAGGGCGAGGCGAGTCAGCAGGCGGAGGCTCCACCTGGCCAGAGGGAAGCATATGGATCTGGAGGTTTGCGCCCTAGACATGCGGCCCTGCACCTGTAGTCTTTTACCATCCCTTCTTCCAATCAAGCAGTTCACCACATTGTGTGCGCTGTGATTTGTGTGCACCAAAATGTCTTTGAGACCCACAGGACACATCTGGGAGTCCATGGAATCCCTGAACGCTGTGGACCAGACCATCTGTTTCGTTGAAACGTCCTAGAACAAGTGGAGAAGCTCACATTCCATCCTGAGATTTCCAGATCAACCCAAACATGAAAACCTCTGGAGACATGTTCACCTCCTCTGCCGGTCCGAGCGCGAAGTCGATACTTCGCGTTCGAACAAGGTGGCCAAAGTTAATGAGACACCTGGACATCGCAAGCCCTGGTTAATTCGTTGTCGCGTCGACAATTGTGATGCTGATGCGTTGCCCAGGGCAGCTCGCTGCCAGGCTGTCGGAAAGTGCAAACCTCAGTGCTGTGTGAAGCAGCGCTGATCGAGGCGCTCAGCCCACCATGGCGGGGTTTGGGTTTTCCATGCCCGACTTTGCAGCCGGATTGAGCAGCTTGAATGACATCGGGGAGCGCTTCTCCAAGATCCGGGAGGACATCGAGTCCACTCTGGACGCCACCCTGCGAGGGGAGGTGCAAGACGACTCCGCGGCATTCGATGAGCCGGAGCAAGGTGCGAGGGGTGCGGTGCGATGACATTCTTGCAAACCCAGTGATCAGGTGCTGATCGTTCGCTGCCTGACTGCAGGCGAGGAGGAGACCTCGGCAGTTGCGGAGACGTTGCCACCGGTGCCGGATGCTGCAGAGACCGCCTCGGACCCGACTGAGGCGGTGCTGGAAGCAGCCAAAGCCGCTAAAGGGCATTCCACTCCAGGCTCAGATGCTCGATCCGAGGGCTGGAGCGAGGACGATGATGTGGGCCTGCAGGCCGCGCCGCTGAGCCCTGCGCATCCCTCCAGCTCGCGCGACGCTCCTGCTGCTGCTGACGGAGGCCCCAGGCCAAAGCAGCACGAGCGGCAGGAGGCGAATGACCCAGACTCACCTCGGCAACAGTCTCCCCAGGCGCTCAGCGCAGGAGAAGCTCAGCCCTCCAGCAGCAATGATGCACCTGCTGATTCACCTCGGGTGCAGAAGCCTGACAACATCGTCGAGTCGAAGGGGAAGGCAGCGAGCCTGGATGAGCGCCCTGCAAAGGCAGAGCACCAGCAGTCATCCTCTGCAGCTGCCACTGCTACGCCAGCAGGTACAACGACCGCAGCAGAGGCTGTAGGATCTGGTCAGACCTCCCCTTCCGCTGCAGCTCCATCACGAGACCCAGAACTGGATGACAACGATGATCGCTCGCAGGAGGAAGAGTCCACCCAGCCGAATGGCGAGCCCAGCCCGGCAGCAGCCCTGGACCGGGACGATAGCAAGGACGCCACTGGTGATCAGGGTATGGCGGTCCAGATACAGGAGGATGCAAGTGTCCTTAGCCCCTCACCAAAAGCATCAGATGATGGGCCAAGTCCAGCTGCTGAAGACCTCCCCACGGGACCTCCTGCCGCCGAGCTGGCGTTGCTGAGGGAGACCCTGCGCGTTCGGGAGCAGCAAGCGGAGCAGGCGGCCATTCAGGTGCGCTTTGTTGTTTCATCGCGCTTTTGTAAACTTGTGTGGGGATGGTTGCGGCTGTGGATGCGTCTCGGAGTGAGGGTGTTTATGACTGTGTGTGATTGTTTGACGCCATGCACGGGATCACCGCTCGGCAGGGTGGAGCTACCAAACTGATCGCTGGGTGACGCCTTCATCCTCTCCCAACCTCGCTGCCTGCAGATGGCGCACATGGCCAGCGTGGTTGAGCAGCTGACTCAGCGGAATGAGGAGCTGGCGCTCAAGGCCGCGGCAGTCTCGCAGCAGGACGTGGAAGAGCTGGAGAGGTAGAGGAGGCGGGTGTGCATGGCGGTTTGGGGTGAAGGGTTTGGGGTGATCCACGGCGAATCTCTGCCTCAGGGAGCTGCTTTCCCCATTGCCAGGCTGCTATGGACCTTTTGTGACCTGTCTCATCCACCCCAGGCACTCTACATGCTGCATCCTCCACCTGCTCCCGCACAGGGATTTCTCGGCGCGCCTGGCCGCGGCAGAGAGGAAGGCCTACGCCCTCACCAAGGAGCGGGACATGCTGCGCCGCAGCTGTGAGCAGACCACCGCCCTGCAGGACAAGCTCAAGGAGAAGGACGAGATGATCCAGGAGGTCAGCAGCTGCTGGCGAGCTGTCCAGCAACCTATATTCTTCTGGGCGATGAAATAATCCTGCGCAAGTGCCTGACGCTACAGGGCCCTCGCGCTCATGTCTTTGGCCAAGAGGCGCAAGTGAAGCTGGGTCTGAATTCAGGCAACCCCCTTCCCCCCCTGCACCGTCACAGGCCCGTGCCTCTGCCCCCTAAAATTCCCCTTTCCTGCTCCCTACCGTCAGGTCATGGCTGAAGGCGAGAAGCTGAGCAAGAAGCAGCTGGCCCAGGAGACCACGCTGCGTAAGCTGCGCCAGCAGAACCGCGAGCTGAGCGGCCAGGTGGAGGACCTGGGCGCCAGGCTGGGCACCGCGCAGCAGGCCGCCTCCGAGGCCGGGGCCAGGGTGGAAAGCGCGCTCGCCGAGCTGGCGGCGCAGCGGGAGCAGCACGCCGCCCAGCTGGCGGCGGACCGCGCCACGCACGCCCAGGCGCTGCAGGAGGCCCACGCAGCCCAGGTGCCGTGAGGAAAGGGCGAATGGGGTGTTGCGTCGCCTGTGTAGGACCCGGCGATCGCGGAGGCCCGAGGGGTGTGCACATTTGAAGAGCGGCAGGGTATCAATACCCTGCAGTGGCAGGTGTGTAGAGGGCACTGCGCTCCCATCGGTGCCCGGACACCTCCTGCCTCTGTTTCCTCCCACAGGCGGCAGCGGAGCAAAGGGCGGCCGACGCCGCGAGGACCGGGGCGGTGCAGCAGCTGCGGGGCAGCGAGACCCGTGCGGCCGCCCTGGAGAAGAGCCTGGCGGAGCTTAGGGCCGAGGCCGAGGCCCAGGTGTGCGCGTGTGTGGTCTGGCTGTGCGTTGCGTCGAGTGGGAAGCGAGGCGACGTGTGGACGGAGGGTGGAGAAGTGTGAAGGGGGGGAGGCCATGTTGTCATCCAAGCACGCTGCTTCTTGCGTGCGGGCCGCCGCAAGGCTGCCGCCCTCGAGCGGTGCCTGAGGGGATGCGTGATTGTGGATGACTTCCTTGCGAACCCACACACAGAGCCGCATGTTGTCCTGCTGGCGGGCACCTTTTCCTCAATTTCGATTCACCATGTTCGCACAGTACCTCCCGCCACCCCTTCCCACCCCCGCCCTTCCTCGCAGCGCATGCGGTGGGAGGAGCGCGAGGAGCTGCTGAGCGGCGAGGTCACCGCCCTGCAGCGGCGCTGCGCCGTGGCCGAGGCGCGGTCGGCGGACGTCGAGGCGTCGCTGCCCTCCGCCACCCGCCCCCTGCTCCACCAGCTGGAGGCCATGCAGGCGGCGGCGGTCTCGCAGGCCGAGGCCTGGGCGGCAGCCGAGCGCGAGGCGGTGGCGCGCCTGGAGGCGGCGCTGCAGGCTGGCAGGCGTGCCGAGGAGGGGCGGGCGGCCGCCTGCGCTGCGGCCGACGCCGCGGCGCGCGAGGCGGGGGATCTGCGCGCCGCACTGGAGGAGGTGCGGGGCAAGGGAAGTGGGTGGGGGCCACTTGTCGGAGGAGGTTGCATCGCTGGGGCCGATGTGACGGGGTTACGTTGAAAACGTTCGCCGCGGGGGGCGACCGCGGCGAAGGCTCGGGGTTGTCATGCCGCCCGGGGTCCGCTTGCACCCAGTCCCCCACCCCCACCCGGATTCCCCTGCCCCACACCACATCCCACCCCCAACACGCTTGCTCCAAATCCCCGGCCCGCGCTGCAGGCGCTGCGCGACGTCGACGAGGCGCGGGCGCGGTGCGACGCGGCCGGCCGCCGCGCGGCGGAGGAGGCGACGGCGGCCGCGGCGGCCCGTGCCGACGTGGCCGCCGCGCGGGAGGCCCTCGTCACCATGGAGGCGGCCTTCGCTGCGCGGGCGTCGGCGGCCGAGGCCCGCGCGCGGGAGGCCATCGCCCGCGCGGCCGAGCTGGAGCGACGCCCGGAGGTGGCGGAGGAGGGAGCGGCGGCGCGCGGCACGTCCCCCGCGTCCCCCGCCGACAGCGCCGGCATGCCGGAGTCGCCGTTTGCCGCGGCGCCCGCGCCGCCGCGTTCGGCGGGCAGCCGCGAGGGCTCGGGTTCCCCCGCCGACAACGCCGCGTCGCTGCGTCGCGCGCTGGCGGACGCGGAGGCCACGCGCGACAGGTGGAGTTTGTTTGGGGGGGGGGGTGGCGGGATGGTGAACTGCGGCCTGGTGTCCTTTTGACTATCGTTAGGGTTTGGGATGGCATGTTGCTCCACTTCCACCGCCATTGGTGTTGGGTTTGGTGCATGCCGGCCTTGATGCTGGCTGAAACACCCTCCCCAGTGCTCGACACTGCTCCATGAAATGCTGCCAGCTTACATTCTCGCTCGTGCTCCCAACCACCTCCCAGGCTGATGGAGGAGCTGGTGGCCGCCGCCACGGCCGCCGAGCTGGGCAGGAGCGCGGCCGCGGAGGCGGCGGCCCTGCGGGGCCGGCTGGATGTGCTGCACGCGCGCTGCGAAACCTGCTTGGTCCTGCTGGGTGAGTCGTCGAGGAGGCGCATGATCGTGGGAGCTCCGGGCGGTGTTGCCCTCCGGTGGGGTGATGGTCTGGGAGCGAAACCCCGCCAGCGTGGGATGATGCATGGCCAGCGCAGTGGCGGCTGCGGATAGACACGCCCCAGTTTGCCACCCTCCCCTAGGCCCTCGACGCCTCCCACGCCCCAATCCCCACATGCCGCGGTGTAGGCGAGAAGGACGAGCGGATCGAGGAGCTGGTTGCCGACCTGTCGGACGCACGCGCGCTGTACCGCCAGCAGATCGAGTTCATGGCCGACCGGCTCGCGGAGCTGCAGCTCAAGCAGCGGCAGTGAGGGACGAGCTGTTCATGATGACCTTGCGGGGGTGTTGTCCTGCCTGGTCCAGCTCGTGGAAGAGCCTACTACCGGCCCTTTTGCAACACGTGCTGTGCATCATCTGCGAGCAGAAGCGCCGTCAGGGCCAGGGCAGGAGCGGGCGGTGTCCAGGACGCTGGGGGGCCACAGGTTTGGCGCCGCTCGGAGTGCCGCAGCTGCTGGGACCAGCTCAGCAGATGGATGATTCCCGCACCGTCATGCACGCCCAGCAAGTGGGTCCTCCACCAGCACCCCGATCAGGATGTCGAGGCAGCGGGAGATGTGCTGGTAGGCCGGCGCCGAGGGGTGCACGCCGTCTGGCAGCGCAGCCGGGTCCAGGCTCCCCTCATTGGTTAGCACATGGTCCTCGCAGTCCACGAATTGCACATTGTCATCCTCGCTGGCAAAGTGGCTGTGTCGAAGAGGTGCAGGGTGGGAGTTGGCGAGGGAGGACTGGTGGTGTGAGCGCCCTTCGGCAGTGCAGGAGCTGCAGAGGAGTGGTAGCACCGCAGGGACGGCAGGAATCGTCGCGGCGGGGATTGCCAGCAGCAAGGTCCAAATTCGCCCCTGGCCCCACCTGAGGTGCTCGTTCACCACATACAGCGGCCAAGTGAAGAGGTTGGGCAGGCGGAAGGGGTCGGGGCCGTCCACGCCGCGTGGCAGTACGGCCTGCAGTACGACCACTGTGTCGGGGAGCAGGTCCCGGATGCGGCGGATGGTGCTCAGGATCCTGGTGTTGGTGGCAGCGAGGCGCGGATGGTGGTCGTGGAGGAGATGTGAGGGGAAGGATGGGTGTGGGACGATGATGATGCAGTTTGTTGGGGAACATTCCTCATCCTGACCGATGGATGACCTCAAAAATATGCTTCGTGTGACATGGGCCAGCCAACAGAGCCTCCCAGAGGGGTAGATGCCGGGCACCAATCCTCCTCCATAGCGGATGTGCATGGAACGTCAATCGACCATCCTGAGCCTTGGAGATACAAACAGCACGGAATGCTATTTCAAGGCGCCTCTCTCCCCCACTCTCGTGCCCTTGCTGCTCCCCCCCCCCCCCTCCAGCCCCGACCTCATTGTGACGTGCGGCACAGCCTTCCAGATGGACTCCTCCACCTGGTGTGGGGAGGGGGAGCTGCGGCGGGCGCGCTCCAGGTCGTTGCTCCCGATGTTGAGCACTATGACTTTGGGGGGGTTGCGCGTGGGTAGCTCCCCATGGAAGAGGCGCCAGGCCAAGGAGTCCACGCCGTCCCCGGCGATGCCAAACGCCGCCGCGCCATATGGGGTCGCAAACGTGGCGTTGAACGTGACTGTGACATCCTTTGCACGATCGACCGGCTTCCTGAGGGTGGTCGGTTGAGTGGCGCTCCTGGTTGGGGGGGACACATGATGGGAGACTCTGGAGAATCCCTTGATGATACATCAGGCTCCATCCCATACCCCAGAGCTCACCCTTGGAAGGTGCCCTGCCACCCCTCTGTAATCCCTTCGCCATAGAAGATGACCTTGTAGCCCTGGTTGAGTGTGAGTGGCGGTCATAAGGTAGGAGGAATAGACGTCCACCATAGACCAGTACTGGGCAACGCTGCAGTCGTTACTCCCCTAAAAAAGTTCTACCCAATGCCATGCAGCGCACTTCATCACGCCCATCGATCTATCATGACAACCAGCCCACCTCGCCCTTGTCTGCCTCTGCCATGGCGTCGACATACTGCTGGTGCAGGTCGGTCCACCAGCCCTCGGGTCTAGGCTTCTCTTCCAAAAGGTCCATGGGTGGACACAGCCCAAGTGGGAATCCCACAGATGTCCATCGATCGTGTGCGCACATCATCAACGCGCCCAGAGCGGTGCAGCTCAGGGCGAGGAGCAGGGTTTGGGCCTTCGTGCCGGGTCGGGCACTGCTCAGCGCCATGCCGACACACCGAGGCTGCGATTGTTGAACTGCGGAGGGTGCAGTGTATTGGTTCCAACAGGATAATTGAAATCGATTCGATCCAACGAATATTGGATACGCCAGCTCCTCATGTCACGCCTCCCCTCACTGCGTCTGTCTCGGACCGCAGTCCCTCCGACATGCCATCACGCGCAGCACGCCCCGGCCCTCCTCCCACCTCAGCAGGGAGGTTCCAGCCCACATCTCTCCATGCATGCACTCCACGCGCGCCGGACTGCGTCCTCAGTCCCCCGCAGATCCGGCCCCCTCCTCCACACAGCGTGCGCAGCGGCACCGGAATCCGTAGGCGTGGTGCAGGCTCCGCTGGCGCTGCGTCACGCCTGCGCCCACATCCACGTACGATATGGTCAGCTGCTCGCCGGCATCAACGTCGCGCGCAGCCCGCAGCGTCAGCAATGCGTTGTTGCCCGGGAACTGGACGTCCAGGCAGGGGTCGCAGGAGTGGTTGAACAGGGAGGCCAGCGCGTACAACGCGCTGCCGGCGCCCAGGGCCGCCACCGGCCCCCCGCCCAGGCTGGCAGCCGCGGCCTGGAGGAGTGACGCGCCGTGCATCGATATCGTGTCCACCCTGCGAGTTGGGGTGCGGATTCGAGACGGTGGGTCTGCGCTCGGCGTGCCGGCTGCAGGGAGCGGCGGCTGGGCGGGAGACTCGGTGCAGCACTTTGCCCTGCCCAAGTCGCCCCCCGGGACAGTCATGCTGTGTGGCTGCCGCTTCACCACACAAACCCCGCCCATCCCCCGCACCTGAACACGTTGAGGTGGAGGCGCGACATGCCGTCGCTGTACCACGCAAGGTCGAGCGCCCGGCACGCCACTGCCGTCGCTTTCCCGGCCAAGCCGGCGGCCAGGCCGCGGAGCAGTGCTGCATGCTGCTCCCGCCAAGGCTCGGGCGGGGGCGGCGGCACCCGGGCGTGGCAGAGGTGCTGCAGGTCGCTGAGTGGGTCCCCGCGGGCAGGCGGGGGACTGCGCAGCGCCCCCACGCCGAGCTCCTCCCCACGTTCTGGGCCGCGGGGGCGCAGGCGCATGCATGCCAGCCGTGCCATCAGGAGGGGGAACTTGTCGCCCGACCCAGAGCACAGGGCCTGGAGTGGCCCCCAGTCACAGCGCGCGTGCAGGCGCCACCAGGGCTCCCCTTGCAGCCTGGCCTCCCGGCAGGCCTGACAGATCCAGGGGGTTGGAATGGGAGAGCCAGGCGCCAGACACCCTGCACAGGCGGCATGCTGGTGAAGGGAAGGTGGGGGCGTGCACAGCATGGGCGCCTCCCTGTGAATCAGTGTGTTCTGGGAAATGGCCTGCGTGGCAAAGAGGCCCCTCCCCTGGCCGGGGACCTGCAGGAGGGCGATGTCGGGTGTTTTGGGGGAAATATCCGGAGTCTCTGACGTTGCCCTGCCTAACGAAATCCAATCGTGTACCGATTGAGCATTCCTACCTGAAGCAGTTGCAGCACGGTTGCTGCGTGCTCTAGCTGCTGCTCCAGAGGCACGATCCGGGTGTGGAAGAGCCTCCTGGTTGGTTGCGGCAATGCGACATGTGAAAACCGACGGATCGGGTCACTGAGAGTGCGGAGGTCGATCCTCTTGAACTCCCGATCCTACCTGGCCAGTCGCCCAGAGCCCCGCAAGGTCATGCCTCTCTGCGCCTTGGACAGGAGCAATGTCAAGCTTATATTAATAACGGTGCTTAGGTTCGGGGAAAATTTATCGGCCCCCATCATGTGCCTTGGAGCAGTGCTATCGTCAGTTCGAAAGGCACAGGGGAAGCGCTTGTTGCCACGTGGGAGGGACAACGGCGGCGAGGGGCCTTTCACGGGCACTCTGCTTCCAGGAAGTTGAGGACTATCGGGGGGACGTGCTCTATCAATGTGCAACGTAACTCACGGATTGTCCAGCATCAGGCCCTGACAACGTCATTCTGAGGTGTCTTGCACTCAGTTTCGCAAAATTTTGAATGACTCAGCGACGGGGCATAGGTCCGAAGGTGTATGATGGGCAACCATGCGTTGCCAATATGGTTCCGGGCCCCTGTTGTGTGAGCCGGGCTGGGGTGGACCCCGTTACCTGGCAACCCAATCATAGAGATGTGTGCGCTGCGGTTAGGGTGGATAGAGAGCCTGAACGCCATGCTCTGTCTTGGGTCCTGATTGTGCAAGATCTGGTCGTGCCTTATATCAAAACTTCCCTGCCCTGATACTTCCATGCGCTCATCATCCTGGATATCTGAGTTACACCCTTACCAAAAGAGATGGCACATAGACAACGGCCATGTGTGTAAACTGAGCCCACCCAACGTGGACTAATAAGAGGTCTGCATACTTCTTTGGGATGTCCTGGACCGAGCACCCCCGCTTTCCATTTGGGTCGACAATGCCATGATAACAACGCCCCGCCGCTTCTACTGAACCCGGTACTCCACAAGGCCTTCGTGAATGGGTCTTGAAGGAAGTCTCCTCTAAACTAATCACCATACTTCATGTTGCGCAGACTGGCCGGCCCCAAGGACACCCAACATCAGGGCCGGGCGCAATTTTGCTAGATCAGGCCGGGCATGATCTTGGAGATGGCTGACATTGCTGTGAAGGTCATGCGCCCCTCACGAACTGCCTCTTGCCCTTCTGGCAGTGCTTCTTTCCTGTACTGCTGTGTGACGTGCCGCTGAGGCCACATCCGAGATTCAGATGTGGGCAGTGCCACACACGCCGAGAAATGCTCCAGCGATAAGCGGTGGCAAGGTTGCATGCAGCACAAGCCCGCCACTGCTGGGTGGAAGCAAGCCTGCTGGAAGGTCACTGCCAGCTGCAAGATTTTCAATCTGGCCGCCCTGGCAGCTCGACCTTGAGTTAAACGATGACAGTTTGAGTCACCACATGCCTGCAAACATACACGGAGCTGTTAAGTTTGCAACATCAGGGACGCAGAGTCGTCAGAGGTAGGTAGGCAGCGCAGGGGTGCAAGGGGTTTTTACTGGTAACAGGGATTTGTACCAGATGGAGCTCTGTAAGAGTGGCTGTAGACATGACCTGTGCAGTGAGCGAATGCCCGCTGCACAGGATGATTCATGTTGGTATGGACACTGAAGGCTGGTGCTCGTGCACTCAAGACGGTGGAGGGGAAGGGGGTGGGGATCGGCGGGGGGGGGGTATCGGAGGGAGGGGGGGGGACCGGGGAGGAGATGGTGGTTTGGGAGGTGGGGGAGGAGGGGAGGGCGGGGGAGAGGTGGTCACCGGGGTGAGCAGTACAAAGTCGGAATGCTGCTCGGGCGGTCCAGTGATCTTGGCACTGGCCTTTGCATAGGCAAATAATTTGGCGACCGTGGGGATGGCAGTGTAAGTGCCCTGGGTCACGGTGGAGGTGGGATCTTTGGTGTATGATACCAGCGCAGTATCATCAGATGCAAACAACACAATGGTTATGGTACTGGCCATGTAACTCCCTGTGTCCACGGTGAAGTGAAAGTACAAGTCAGTCCAAGCCATGGTGCCCGTCGGGGAGGGAAGGACTTGGCTTGGTGGGGAAGGGGGAGGAGATGGAGGTTGAGCTGTTGGTGGTGCCACACACACCGCCGTGGCCGTAGGCGTGTCTGCATCATAATCCACACAGAGAGTGAGGACATCCGTTGATGGAAAGCTGGTGCAAGTACCACTGATGGGGTACACCTGGCTCGAACAGGACAGCAGAGGGCCACTGGGGCCGGTGGTGCAGTGGGCAGCGTTGGCGGCATAATTGCCATCATAGCAGAGTGCTGGGACGGCGGTGCTGTCGTCGCACACTCCTTTGCTGTTCACGGGCGTGTAGCCAGCCGCACACGCAGGGGTGGCAGGGGTCGGTGGTGTTGGCAACTTGGTGAGAGTGACGACCATTTGTAGGTTGGTGTCAGTGTCCATTGTGGTTGCAGTTGCGAAACTGAAGAGGGACACTGCAATCTGGTCTGAGCCTGGTATGGCTTGTGTATAAGAAAATGAGCTGTCACCGGGGGAAAGAGAGGAAGAGATGTAGGGTATGTAGTAACGGTCAAATACTAAAAAGGAGATCGTTGCCGGGCGGAAGTTAGTGATCAGAGTCAAAGTGATGATCACTGGCACGACACTTGATGAACTGAACATGATGGTACCCTGTGCCGCATATTTCAGTGGTGGAGGTGGGGTTGAGGGAGGTGGCGAGGGCAAGGGTGGAGGCGGGAATTGCTGGGGCGGGGGAGGCGAGTCGCTAGGCGGGGGAGGCGACTCCCGTGGGCGGGGGAGGCGACTGGGTTGGGCGGGGGGAGGCGGACGTGGGTTGGGCG